AAATGTTGCCAAATGTGACATATTCAAAACACATATTATCGTTGACACTAAATCACTGCTGGAAATTATGGAATTTACGATCATCTAAAAATGATTTTAAATCAAGTCAAAAGCAAAAAGTGGTCCCAAATAGCAACAAAGGTTTTTCCGGATACCAAAAGTGGTCGGAACAAGACTTTCGACTTGATTTAAGATCACTTTCATGTGATCGAAAATTCTATCAGCCGTGAATGTGTGGTCATGTTTTGTTTTAAAAAATTGTCAATACCGCTCTGGGATCAAACTCATGACCTTCCAAATAACCACTTCGTCGTGTTACTAAATGGTTTTCTAATTGTTGTTATAGGGAAGTGATGATTGAATATGCGAGTGCAATGCAAGAGCTATCCAAGCTGCTTGGTGGAGTTTTGGTGGAGCATTTGGGGCACCAGAAAAATTTGATCGATCAAATGTGCGATGAAAACACATGTTTTCTACGCCTAAATCACTACCCGCCATGTCAGATATCGAAGGAAGTGTTTGGCTTGATGCCTCACACCGACAGTGATTTCCTCACAATCCTTCACCAAGATGAAGTCGGTGGGCTTCAACTCATGAAGGACTCCCGTTGGGTGCCTGTCAAACCCATCAAGAATGCACTCATTGTCAACATTGGAGATCTCTTTCAGGTAATTTATCTCATTACTTAGATAATAACCAAATTGCCAAGCACCTTGTGCTCAAATGGCACCCGAGTTCGACTCTCATATGGTAAGTTGTGAGTTCGAGCCTCAGTGGAGGAGGTGTTATTGGCTCTTTGTGCTTCAGTAGGTTGAGAAAGTAGCTATGAACAGATACTAGATTCACTACTGGAAATTATGAAATTTCCGACCACCTGAAAGTGACCCACTTTTGGTATCCGGAAAAACCTTTTGTAGCATTATCCTATTTCATAAAAAATTTCGAGTTGTTTTGTAATTTTTTTAAAATGAAAATATTATTTTGAAAAAAAAAAAAAAAAAGCTTAGTAAATAATTAATATTTATACATATTTATTTCTAACTAGCAAAAAAAAAGACAAAAATTTATGAAATTTTTATATTGAAGTGTTAAAGAATGTTTCTTTTGATTGTGGAATTGTTAATGTAATCTATACTTGCAGGCTTGGAGCAACAACATATACAAAAGTGTGGAACACAAAGTGATGCCTAATGGGAAGGTTGACAGATTCTCCATAGCTTACTTTCTTTGCCCTTCATATGATTCTGTGATAGGGAGCTGCCAACAACCTTCCATTTATAGAAGTTTCACATTCAGAGAGTATAGAAATCAGATACAAGAAGATGTCAAATTGATTGGCCATAAAATTGGCCTCTCAAAATTTCTGTATTAGATCTGGTGTTATTTTTCTTAATCCAACCATCTTTAACCTAATTAATTAGCAATGCCATATACAACTGCATCTATAATGTTATAGTACCCACCAACGTTATATATTTCATATAGTTATATTGTCTTCCGTCAATACTATAAATTAAAAGAGATATTAAATATATTAAGTATTTATGAGACTACGTAAAAAAATTTCAATAATTATACATATATATATTTTTTTTTTAAGAATTGACCATACATAAGCAACATATGTATATTTAATGTATAATACTCATCATCCCAACAAAAAAAAAAAAAAAAAAAAAAAAGATCCATATGAAATAAGTATATATTATACAAGAGACTTAATATATACTAGCAATCATCATATATGAGTATTGTGGTTACACCATATTTTGTCCTTAACTTTTAAATTAACCACGATTGATTCATGAGTTAGAGAATTCTAACGAAAAACTAGAAAATGCTACGAATCAAAATTCGAATGATCAAAAGTGATCAATTGAAAAGTAGTGATCAAACGTGATGTGACCACCATATTCAGAGTACCACATTTAGTATTAACTCTATACAAGAGATCGGTCCATATATAAAAATGCATACTAATACCTATGATATAATTACCAAAAGGCAATAGCTCATGTTAGAGGGGCTTGAGCCACTTAAATATGACTTTGAGATCAATCCAATCTCATGAAATGCAGATACTATTACAATATTGGGTAAACAAACATAATTTGTGTATGTATAAGCATAGACTACTATATAGAGCCATTTTGTAATAATTTTTTAAATTAATTTGTTTTATTCATGGTCATTTGATTATAGTGACATTTTCACTTTTAGTTATCGACGTTAATATATTTCACATTTTAAAATGTTGCACTTTTTGTCCATATGTCCATTATACTCTTAAGGAGATGTTTGGTTCATGGAAAATGTTTTCCAAAGGAAAATATATTTCCTTAAAGTGGAGGAAAATGTTGTTTTCTGGTGTTGGTTCATGAATTTCTCAAATTTGAGGAAAACAAAATCTTTGGATGGACCAAGGATTTTGTTTTCCATGGAAGATGGGAAGAAAAAGTGATATGAATTGTCTATTTTACCCTTGTTTTCTTTTTTAATTATATTACTCTTATTAATTTGTAGGGAAATATAAGTCTTTATTCTCGTTATTCCTTACAATTCCAAATCTAACCAAACAACAGAATTAGTATTCCCAGTAATTCTTTTTCCACCAACCAAACAATGAAATTATCTTTCCTAGTAATTGTTTTTCCATGGAATTTCAATTCCACATCCCTTAAAATATTTTTCGCGAACCAAACGAGCCCTAAATGCATTAGGGCTAAGATTTGGCGAAATTTTTCACAAACTAGGAGGTATTTTAGGTATTTTTCACAAACTAGGAGGTAAGATTTATTTGGTGAATTTTTTTCACAAATTAGGAGGTATTTTAGACTAAAAGAAACAAGTGTTTAAAAAGTGAAAATTAAGAGTAGAATAAATCAAAATTGAAGGTTATCTATGGTGGAACTAGGATTCCGATCCCAAGCTATAGGAAACCAAAAAAATTAGTTCCAAAATTAAGGGCTAGAAAGAAATAAAGCAATAATAAGATGTAAATAATAATGCATAATTGCATTTGTAATATGAGATGCAATTTAGGGAGACAATGCGCTGCGTTTGTTCATAGACTTATATACCAAGCATTCCTTATCTTAGTTTTTTTTTTTTTTTTTGAAAATCCTTATCTTAGTTTAATTATGACAAATTTTCTAAAATTTATTGCTTACACTATAACTAGTTACCACACGCGCATTGCGCGAGTTTAATGCCCAATGTGTATTATTAAATTAGTGTTTCATAATTAGTATCATTCGGTATCCTGTCACACATTCACATTGACTGTTATATTGTATTTTTTTAATACACTCTAACATATTCATAATATATGTTTAACAATTATATCAATTTTGATTGGGATGAGGTTCGAATCTAAGACCTTTCTTATGAAAATCAATGAGTAAATTAAGAATATATAATAAATAGTTAACATAATGTTCAGTTACTAAAGTTTACACTGACGAAATGCAAGGGGTATTTAAGAAAAGTAAATAATATATAAAATAGAGGGTAAAGTAGGAAAAATAAAAAAAATACTAAAATCAAAATAATATGAATAATTCATTTCAACAAACAATTATACAAACAATTTTTTAATTCCCGTTATGGACCTAACTTTATTGGTTCTTATTAAGTTTGTAAATGTAGATTAGACATATAAATTATTAACTAGAAATATTTCTGTATTCTCATAGATACACCCTTTCTTGCCATTCTAGGCCTTTTGCCCTACTTAGGTTGCACTTAGCACCGTCAAAATAGGTTTTGCTCGCGGGGCTAGCCCGCCCTGCTCCTATATAGGTAAGAGGTCAGATTTGATTCTAGCGGCCCGCATGTAGGGAAAAACTGAAATGGGAAAGAAATACAATTTGATGACAAAAATGATGAGAAGCTTTTGAAAAGTGGACTGCAATAGGAAAAGAGCATTTGGGACATACACTTTTTGTCAGAAACGAATGTCCCACATGCGTTTGAGTTTTATTTTTTGTTCTCCGAAATTAACCACAAACGCAAGTGGTACTTGCGTTTGTGTATTATACCAGAGATACAAATTCAACTTGTGTCTCTGACCGTGAACCCTAATCAATGGTATACAGATTGATCAAATACTGTCAAAGTATCAAGTGTTAATATATGTTTTTTTTTAAGGGAAAATGGTAAAGTAAGCTCTCAAACATTTGCTAAAGAGTCAATTAGCCCCTTCAACTTTTTAAAGGTGCAATTACACCCATAAACAATGCATTTTGATGCAATGACGCCCAAATACAGGTAAATGACCTGTTATCATAGGTCAATGAAGATCCGGCCATTTTCCAACGTATTTCCGACATATTTTCAGGGAAAAAACTGACCGGCGACCGTTCCGGTGACCACTGTGATCACCTTCTCGCTGGAGAAGGCAACCCAAAACTGGGTTGCCTTCTCCGGCGAGAAGGTGACCACAGTGGTCACTTTTTTGTCTGAAAATACGTCACAGGACCAAAAATGCAATTTATTCTTATTGAACTTTATATTCACAATTACAAAACTCTATGTTCATAATTTTCAATGTTCATATTCCCAATTGTTGAACTCTGTATTCACAAATCACAGAACTATATGTTCATGATAACTATACAGTTTAGAATTTATGAATCTACAGTACAGATTTGCAGTATAGATATTATGAATCTACTGCATAGAAATTATGAATTTACTGTATTTAAATTATGAATATACGATTTAGAAATTCTGAAATTATGAATCTACAGTATATATTTTATGAATCTACATCATAAAAATTATGAATCTATCATATAGAAATTATGAATATAATTCCGTGTGCACCTTGCATAGTGCACACGGTTGCACAACATAACGATCCATAAAAAAACATGTGGACCTATAGTTTTATATTCACTTCACTGATAAGCTGGTGATCCAGTCCAGTTTACATTCAGCCCAATACTAGGCCCAATAGTATGTAAAGATAGAGAGAGAGAGAGAGAGGAGAGAGAGATGAGAAGATTGCAGCAAGTGTGTATATTGAAAAGGGTTTCAGGGCTTCCATACTCACATCTGCCGTTTTGTGCTTAAGAAAAAACATACAAGCTATAGACCAATATACAACCTCAATCTATATCCCCTCGACCATATTATTCTCCTCAATTTTCCTCCTTCACTTCTCTGTGCCGCCGTACGCTGCCATTGACACCGTCGCCGCCGCCGCATCGCCGTCTTCCGCATGAGTAGATAGGTTTGCCCTGCTCAGCCTTGATTTAATGAAAATCCAATATTCTTTAAAAAAAAGAAGGAAATTAATCCATTATTTGTGTTCCCCTTTATCAAATTCAAGATGAATTAATTTACCGATGTCTTTGGATTCAGGGCTTTTCGTCAAATTCGGATATGTATCCTTCTCGTGGGACTAATGCGTATGGCCAACAACAGCAGGGCTACTCCTCCCAATCCGCCTATGCGCAAAACGTATGCTTTTGTTATATTTATTTACTCGGATTGTTTTCTTTCTTCTCATTTCCCTCAGGTTAATAAGAAATTAAAGGTCTTTTAATTAATATCAATGGCTGCTGCTAGAATTTTTGTCGGTAGATGATATTCAATTCAATTGCTAATGATAACAAGATGGTGGGATGAATGCTTTGATGGTTAAAATGCCAATGAAGAGAGCATGCCACATATGCATGTATGAATAGTAAAGGAAATTCTAGGGCTGTAACTGCTATTTTGTCCATATGAATATGAAACTGCATTTTTAGTGGGTAATGATGTATGTGGAACTCTATTAGAAAGAAAAGAAATGTGATAATCTCTGTCACTGATTTAAATAACATGCTTGCAGATATTAAAGGTGTTGCATTTATTCATTTGATTGTGCACAAAATATTTTTGTTCTGTTTTTGACAAAAATGTCTTACTGGCCATTCTGTTTTGCTGTATCTATGTCTAACAATTAGGCTTTGTAGTACTGGAATTTATGCAATTTATATTAAGGAGTCATATTTTTCATTTTATTTATGCTTGTGTAGTTGGTATCTGGCCACTCTGGGAGCTCTGCTGCAGGACCTGATGGTTCCTCTCAACTACTAATTGCTTCGCGCCATTCATCAATTTTAGGGGGTTCTCAAGAAGCAAATACAAGTGCATACAGAACTCATGGTCATCACCCCTCTTCTGGGCCTAGTTATGGTGGACAATACAGTGCTGTGTATGGTTCTACTGCTCAACAGGTCTGCTATATGTTGCAAACTATTTAAGTTTCTTCCATTTTAGGTCTGTGGAGAGAATATATTAGCCTGAAAAATTATACAGGGTAGAGAATTTTGAAGCCCAGAACACCAAAACTCATGGTTCAGCATTACTGCATTTGTTTTCACAGGATTCATCTTGCTTTTTATCATGTTTTTTTTTTTTTTTTTTGGCACTTGAAGCCAATTATGATTATGCCAATAAAATGAAGCAGCTGATATTACCTGTATCGCTGTATAATTTAATTCTTAAGTAGCTGTTTAAACTCTTTAAATAATGGGCCTGCTTTATCACTTCTCTATTAAATTATACCGAAAGGTTTTTTTCTTCTAACACATGCTAATGGTTGGTTGACACCAAAACTGAGATTGGTAATTGTCACAAAATAAAACAGTAAATAATAATAATAATAATAATAATAACAACAACAACGTGCTTGAGTTCTGTCCTTTTGATGTAACTGGTGTTCTAGTGGTGAAAATTTTAATATTTATGGTCAATTGGTGACAACTGATCTGATGACACAAAAGCCTATTTAGAATTTAGAGTTCTTAACTGATCTGATTATTAAACTTACAGGGAAATATCCTGCCTGGTTAAGTTTATTTAGTTCATGAACTCAAAGTATGGCATTGGATGCAGTGAGGCAATTAGTTCTTTGTGGTTTTGTGCTTTCTATGTCTTAATTGGCTATTACATTATTCACCACGCATGCATGCTGCTGTTTGGAAATGTAAATTCATATCTCTCTCTCTTTCTCCCTGTTGTAGACTGCTTCAATCACTGGAAAAGCATCTGTTCCATCCACTATTGAAGGTCGCACTGGTTTCAGTTCATCTATTACAGACTCAGCCAAGTTCGCATTGGGTGACTATGTTTCATCAACCAGCCATATATATGGCCATAAAACTGAACTTTATTCTGATAGGGTTCCTGATTACCCAACATTGGAAAGACGCCAATATGGTGAACGACATAGTGGTGGTTATGTGGGCGGGAGAGATTTGCCCATTGAACCTGCCACTCGTTATCCTGACAGTATTTCTTTTAACAAACATCAGGTATTCTATTACACTACTTATTTAAGTAGATTACAATCAATAGTTCCCACATGGTTCTTTCTTTGGAACAGGCTGAAATATATGATCGCATGGATCAAGCTTCAGTTATCAGAAAAGAACAACTGCTAAAGGCTCAGGGACTGCAATCTGGATCTCATGAAGGGGGGCCAAGGTATCTTTCCTTCACTTTTTGTCTAGGTGCATACTTTATGAATACACAGAAGGATATAGCAATAATAATTTTATGGTTGTCTGTGTAAAAATTTAGTTAGACTTCACAATCTTGAAAATTTGTGGTTGCTATTGCATACAAAGGAATAGTCTTTGTGGGGAAAGCATAGGATTTGAATGCAGCATCCCTGTTTGCAGCTTTCATAGCTGCGCGCTCTATATCGTACTGAACTGAATAGCAACTAATTTCTGGCAGACAGAGTGAGTATCTTGCAGCAAGAAGTGCTGCTGTTCGTCATGCAGCCCAAAATCGCCTTTCAGCTCAAGATCTCATCGCATATAGCACCAGAGCTGACCCCGATCCTCATGCATTATCAACATTAGGCAGTTCGTCATTCGATGCACAGCATGCTCCTTCTATATTAGGGGCAGCACCACAAAGAACATTAGATGACCTCATTTACTCACAAAACTCTTCAAATCCTGGTTATGGTGTGAGCCTACCTCCTGGTAGAGACTACGGAGTAGGTAAAGGACTTCATGCAAATTCCCTCGATTCAGATTTTCCAAGTAATATGATGGCACGCCATTCAAGGATGGACGAATATAAGGATGACAGAATTCCTTATGCTCGTGAATTTGACCGGATGGAAAAGGAGCGTCTATATTTGCGCGAGCATGAGAAAGACAGAGACAGGGAAAAGGAACGAGAGCGAGAACGGGAGCGGGAGCGAGAAAGAGAGCGGGAACGTGATCGTGAAAGGGAAAGAGAAAGAGAAAGAGAAAGGGAGAGAGAAAGGGAGCGGGAACGTGAACGACTAAGGAAACGAGAAAGAGAACGTGAACGAGAGCGCATTCTGGAGCGGAGGGAGAAGGAACGTGATAATGAGCGCAAACGTGGAGCTGAAGCTAGGCATGAACGAACACCTCCCAGAATATCTAGGGAGCCCCGAGGCACATCAGTGACAAAGGACAGTAGATCCTTAAGGCACGATTCTCCACGACATGAAGTTTTGCATAGGTGGAATTTTAAATTTTCGTCCTACCCTGCTTCTGTATGTTTAGCTGCTAGCAAATCTTGCAGCCTTAACGACTAACTTAGTCTTCTATTATGCTGAAGGCGCCATTCACCTGTTAAAGAAAAGAGGAGAGAATATTTGTGCAAGGTAAAACAAGAGTTAGCTGTTGAATCATTACTGGCACTCTTTAAAAGCTTCTCAGTGTTGAGGGTCCGCCGTTGTGCTCAATTTTCTCTAATTATCCACTTCTAAACAAGCTATCTTGATTCACTTGTCTTCTTGAAAATTCTCCATCACATTTGATTTCTTCCACATTGCATTCCATGTATTGTAACAGTGTAACCTGCTCCTCCTTAGTCATAGATCTGGACTCTTTTTCTCTTTCATTCTGCTCTGCTTTGCTCTTCCTGATTATCTTCCCATATATTTCTTTTTATCATCTATTAACTTCTCATTGTTCGGCTCTATTTTACTCCGGGGTTGGTGTATCCTCACTGTAGTCTATTCCATAACTCCAATGATCCTCTATTTGTCCTGTGTTACAATTTCTGTCCTATTGGAGCTTTGCTTGGAGTTCTCTCAGTAGCAGAGGTGTTCTGATATCTGAAACAAGACCGAGTTACCTTAATTCTGTGCTTTACTTTTTGTAAAATCAAAATAACTCAATATGAAGAAGATAAGATGTCGAACATATTTACCCCCTTTGACTTCTAATGTGTTTTTGTTTTCTAGGTTTACTCATCTAGCTTGTTGGAAACTGAGAGAGATTACTTATCATTGGATAAGATATATCCCCGACTTTTCATATCTCCTGAATGCTCAAAGGTCTCTCTCTCTCTCTCTCTCACTTCGTTTGAAGGGAAAACAAATCTCATATTATATTTTTCATATGGTACCATTTTTATGTACAGGTAGTTATAAATTGGCCAAAGGGGAATCTTAAGCTTTCTTTGTACACTCCAGTCAGGTAATTTGTTATTTATCACTGTCTTTCAAGTGAATACACTTCTTAATTCTGATGAAGGAGAGGTGCAGATAAGGATTTATCTGGTGAATGTTTTTCCATATTTTGCCCTTCTCTTTGATTATGCATTGGATATTTAGATGAATGCAAAAATATTTTTCAGACTGCCAAGGAAACATATGATATGATCTGTGTGAAACAAGTAGCATCAAAATCACAATAAGTTACTAATAACATTGGAATAGGATGAGTTTTTTTTTTTTTTTTTTTTTTTTTTTTTAAATTCCTAAATAACATGACTCTTGTGATCTGATAAGTTTTTGTTAATGGGACAACATCAAGTATTTTGCAACAGGCTAAAAGGGACAGTAGCTCAACTAAACTGAGATATAGAGCATCACCTTCTATTGTATCTGTACTGAAGTTGAAAAATCATATCTAAAGATTAGTGCTCTGCTCATGGTTCCCTGCATGGTTCTCTTTATGATGTTTTTTTAGAACTTAAGCTTCCTAGAAGATTGTTTATATTTTCTGTACACTTTAAGTTTTGCAAATGTAGTAGTGGTGTTTATGTGATTCTTCTGATGAAGCAGTTTTGAGCATGACTTTGTTGAAGGGGAGACTGCAAATGAGCAGAAAATGTTATCACCTAGCAAATCTGCTAGTGCATCTGAAAGATTAGATCATGGGGTTACTGTATGGAATGCCAAGGTATTTCTTCTGTTAATCTGCCAAAATTGTGGAGTTTTGTATAATTGTATATCTATGCCAAAGATTTAATGTGACTGCTTCTTTTCAAAATAAATTTTATGGTTATCATTCCTGCACTTCAATTCCCATAGAAATCTCCATTTGGCAAGTGAATGTGGTCAAATGGCTTATCTATAGGTAGTGACTACTTGTAGTTCATGGTAGGAGGATCCTAAGAATTCAAATTAGTATAATTTATGCATGGGTTAAAACCTTTGTTCCTGTTTATAAAGTTTGTGCTAAGTATTAACACACTTTTTTTTTTTTAATATCCGAATCATTTGGGCTTTTATTATTGCTCAAAATTACACTCCTTAAGTTTTGTGGAGTGTGGAGTACAAAATCTTATGAATTGTTGCAATTCTTTTCTACCAACTTGCCCCAATTTTGTTATGTTCATATTGTATGATAATGCATAAGCAAATTTGTCCTTTCTTTCATACAGGTCATTTTGATGAGTGGACTCAGTAAAAATGCTTTGGATGAGCTATCTTCTGAAAGAAGCTACGATGATCGCATACCTCACTTCTGCAATATGCTTAGATTTGCTGTTCTTAAAAAAGATAATTCTTTGATGGCAATTGGAGGTCCATGGAACAGTGTTGATGGGGGAGATCCATCAGTTGATGACTCTGCTTTGATTCAGACAGTGCTTAGGTTTGTTCATGAGATTGTTTCTTTAGCTGTTAGATCTTTTATATGCCTTCCCAACTGTGACCAAATGATTCATTTTTAGATATGCAAAGGAGATAACACATCTTGAGTTGAAGGGCTGCCAACACTGGAATCGTTTCCTTGAGGTAATAATGTCTATTCTGCACTATAATTAAACCAACTTGATGAGAGATACCATGATACATTTTCTTTCTATGGCCTAACATTTTTTGTACATGTGCAACTATATGCATGCTTAACTGTAATTCTGTGAATCAAATGCAATGTCAGATGAGTCAGCTAAAGTATTATGTAAGGCAAAAGCATAATGGATGTATGTAGGGTGAGATCACATTGTATGATTTAATCTTCGGTTAATAATGAAATCCTATTTGCTGATCACATTGTATTATTTTTTATCTTTACTCTTTATTTGCTGATAATGAAATCCTATTTTGATGCAACCATACTTGATTTTGGGGGAGCTCAGCCTCCAAAGTGATTTTTAATTGCCTTTGTAAACAGACCATCCACTTCTTTCATTGGTCTAATTATTTTGTTGAAGGGAGTTTTGAAACAATCCTCGAGACAGGATCACAGCTGTATTTTTATTGTTTTTCATGTATTCCCATGTGCTAGGGGTTGTGATTGCCTTTACCATGTGACTGTAATACTGCTGGCTATTTAAATACTGTGGAACATGATACAATAAGCAATTTGTTTGAATGGCTGACTAAATTTGTTTAACTTAATTTTCAGTCAAGTAATTTGATCATCTGATCTGTGTATTTAAGCTTAGTGTTTTGGTATGGAAGCTAATTCCATGTTGATTTTTACAGATACATTATGATAGATTTGGGAAGGATGGAATGTTCAGTCACAAAGAGGTGACTGTTTATTTTGTTCCAGATTTGTCTGAATGTACACCTTCACTGGAGTTGTGGCGTGAACAATGGTTTACTTACAAGAAGGCAATTGCTGAACGAGAGCGCCAGGATGCTCTGAGGAAAGAGGTCTGGCTCCTTTGTTGTTATATGTGACTCCACTTCTATCTATGGTTAATAATTGCAGCTACTATTAGTGTTGCAATAATCTGCCTAGGTGGCCTCCTAGGCGCCCCTAGTCTGATACGAATTTCGCTTTAGTTGGCTATTTATTTGGGCGACTTTTCTTGGCGTTTTTTTTTTAATTGTTTGTTTCACTCAAAACGACGTAGTTTTGAGTGAAACAAAGCTAAAATGCTAAAATTGCTAGACGACGCTAGGGCAAAGAAACGTGAGCGTCAATGTCAGCTGTGTCGCACACTCACACCGTTAGAGAAGACATTGCCTGTTGTCTGCAATGCCGCCTTTGCCTTTCACGACTTATGCCGGCCATCTGTCACAGCCCATTGCAAGCCAGCAGCTCACAGCTTGCAGCTTGCCTTCGCTGGTGTTCACTGATTCACCATCACCACTCGCAACTTAGCCAGGACGCTAGGTTTTATTTGCTTCTAGGCTTCTAGCAATTTGGGGCTTTAGTGCTTTACTGCTTTAGGAGTTTATCACTTAAGGGTATTTATTATTTAACTAAAATAATTTATAATAGTGATTAATATGTTAATTAATAATTACTTAATTATTCACTTTTTTACTTAACTGAACATTTTTTTTTTGTTTCTTAACTTGTCGCCGCCTAGTCGGCCGATGGGCGCCTAGCGCCTTCTACAACATTGGCTACTATGTAGCATGGTTGTAAGATGGATCTAATTACATTTCTGAATGTGTTCCAAGTGATTTGAAGTGACCCGCACTCCCATTAGAGGGGAGCAAAAATTAACGATTAATTGATAGGGAAGAAAGATGTCACTAAAATAGTAAAATATCATAAGGTGATTTGCATTGTGTCCCATACTCAAGTTATTTATCTATAGGGAGTACATGGATATAGTCATCTTTCTATTCTTCCAAAACCTTAATAAAATCTTATTCATGTGCTCCCTTTCACATTCTCCTTCCTCTTTCATTTATTGTAATGGCTACAAATAAAGAAACCTAATTGATCATTTTAGTCAATCTTCTTCCTATCCATTGGCTATATATGTTATAGGTTTTACTTTCCCTTAATGTTCTTTTACTTCCTTTCTGTCTGACAAATTTTTCTGCCTACTAATTTTGTTTTTATTTTTAATTGAACAGAAATATGAAGAAAAGAAGGATAGCAAAGGTAAAGTATCTTAAAATCTGATTTTTTTAAAAAAAATAAATTATTTACCATATTATTATCACTTAACATATTTGGGGCTGTTATAATCTCTTTTGGAAATTAGACAAGGATCCTGAGAAAGTGAAAGATGCTAAGCGGGATACTAAAGCAGATAAAAAGAAAGAGATTTCAGCATCAAAGAAAGTAGTAGAGGGAATCAGAAAGGAGAATGATGGTAAGCTAAAACAGAGCCTAACTGACAAGGGGGAGAGTGATAAGAAAGTGACACAGAATGAACATGGAGTTGAAACTCGTGATGAAGGTACAACTGTAAATAAAACTGGTGAAGGCGAATCAGGTGTTCAAAATGATTCTGGTGTAAAGTCTGGGAAGAAGAAAATTATAAGGAGGATTGTTAAAAAAACCATAGGTAAGAAAGTCGTGGCTAGTACTTCTAAAGAGAATCAAGAGATTCAAGGAAAAGTTGAAGTGAAAACTGCAAGCACAGACGGTGGTGGTCAGCAGGATGGATCATCTGCTAGTCCTAGTACAGTCAAAACTTTTGTAAGGAAGAAGGTTATTAAGAGGGTCCCAGTTCTGAAAACTGCTCAGAAGGTTAGTGAATCAGGGCCTTCTGAGGTTAATGAACCAGTTCCTTCTGAGGTTAATGAGCCAGTGCCTTCTGTGGTTAATGAGCCAGTGCCTTCTGAGGTTAATGAACCGGTTCCTTCTGAGGTTAATGAACCGGTGCTTTCTGAGGTTAATGAACCAGCGCCTTCTGAGGTTAAAGAACCTCTGCCTTCGGAGGTTAAAACTTTGAAGGAATCTGAACATTCTGAAGATACTGCAAAGACAAATTGTGGTAGCAGCACTCCTGTGGTTCAGAATGCTGGTGTAAAAAGGACTGTGAAGAAAAAAATAATTAAAAGGGTGCGTAAAAGGAAAACACCTATGACCGATGACAGCAATGGTGTAACTGTTGCTGAGGGAAACAAAGAGGGTTTGGAGGAACAGTTAGCAGTGCAAGCAGAAAATGAGGTGCAAATTGCAGCTAATGCAGAGGAGGATATGATTTCCCAAGAAGTAAAGGTTAGTCCTAAAGTGAAGACATCACCAATGGCAACTCAAGAGACAAAAGCTGAAGAAGCAACTACTGTTACTCTGTCCAAAATGGAATCAGTAAACTCTCAAAATGATGATTGCTCAAAACTGGAAATGAAGGAGCAGCCTAAAGAAGAGAAAGAAAGGATGGACAAAAAAGATGAAAGGGATGTGCCTAAGAGCAAATCAATTAAGGAGGTGAAAGAAAAGAAAAGTGAAGAACCTCAGAGCAAATCAGTTAAGGAGGTGAAAGAAAAGAAAAGTGAAGAACCTCAGAGCAAATCAGTTAAGGAGGTGAAAGAAAAGAAAAGTGTTGATCCTCAGAGCAAATCAATTAAAGAGATGAAAGAAAAGAAAAGTGTAGAACCTCAGAGCAAATCAATTAAAGAGGTGAAAGAAAAGAAAAGTGAAGAACCTCAGAGCAAATCAATTAAAGGGGTTAAAGAAAAGAAAAGTGAAGAACCTCAAGGCAAATCAATTAAAGAGTTGAAAGAAAAGAAAAGTGAAGAACCTCCCCGCCACCCTGGGTTTATTCTTCAAACAGAAGGGAGCAAGAATTACAAGGTACAGTGAACCAAAAGCAGGGCATAAGAAATGATAGTTTATAATTACACATTTTTCCATTTAAAAAAACATACCAGCCTTTATATAAAATTGAGTCCTTGATATACTTTTACAGTTGCGATCACTGTCACTTTCACTTGATTCTCTCTTGGACTATACTGACAAGGATGTTGAAGATTCAAGATTTGAGGTATTTGCTATCCTGTGAATATGCATTATTTTAATCTACTAAATTAACATTTTACTTGAGAGAGAGAGAGATAGTTATTCATGCAGTTTAATTGTCCTACTCTTCAAATATTTGTTGGATATTGAATTTTCAAATTTTCATGTTGGCTGTAGCTTTCTGTGTTTGCTGAATCAATATATGAGATGCTTTATTATGAAATGGGTCTCCGACTCTTGACTTTTCTTCAGGTATTTTTTTACCATCCTTGGTGTTTTAATATAATGATTTGTTGGTTTTTATTCTAATGTTCATTCTGTTAATTTAGGCCCTGCGCATTAAAGTTGTTATCAAGAGAAACCAACGGAAAAGGGAGAGGGAGGAAGCATCTAAGAAGGAAAGTGAGGAAAAACCATTGACAAAGCGTGCAAAAACAGAAGAGTGTGTGGATGATACTGAATTAACTGGGGTGGAAAAGCAAAATAAAACTAATCCAGATGAAAAAATGACCCCTGTTAAGGAAGAGCCTAGCTCACCTGTCAAGACTCAAGACACTAAGATGACACCAGATGAAGCTGTGCAAAATGAGTCTGATGAGGATGAAGATCCTGAGGAAGATCCGGAGGAAGATCCTGAGGAAGAAAATGTAGAAGATGTAGAAATGCCTGATGCAGACCCCCAGAATGATGCAGATCAGGTGGGGCAACTCTACTCTGTCATAGTATCTCTTTTTTTAGAGGCAGTTATTCCTGATGTCCTGTCATCTTTCTTGACTGCTGAATTCAACTAGTAGGATTTTCGTGTGGACTGTAACTGTTTTATTTTAACTATATTGGTGATCCAAAAGTAACTAATTATTACCATCATAATTTATCTGCTTGCCCCATACAGGAAAATGTTGAAGGCAGAACTAATACTGATTCCAAGAGTGAAAATGTTGCTGAGGATGAGAAACCGGTAATTGGTGTGGAAGCTTCTAAACTAAATGCAGATCTTGATATTGGCAGCAAAGATAATAAGATAATTAAGGTGGAGACGGAGGCAAAGGGAGCTCAGGGAGAGGTTAACAAGGATTTATTGCAGGCAATTTTCTTGAAAACAGTTTTTTCTTGTGCTTTTATTTTGCCATTTCTACATTTCATTATAGTAATGGTGTTTTTGTTTGGGAACAGGCTTTCAGGTTCTTTGATCGAAACCGAGTAGGGCACATAAGGGTAAGTGAAAGCCTTACATTGCCTCCCATTTTGTTCTTGCTCATACTATTCCAGACATCACCATTTTTTCCCTTTCACAGGTCGCAGATCTTAGGCTAATTATCCATAATTTAGGGAAGTCACTCTCAAACCGGGATGTCAAGGTAGGTTTCCCCACTGTTTTTGTGATTTAAAAGGACAATGTTTGATATGTGAATCTGATTTATTATAAAACATCACACAGGATTTGGTCATGAGTGCTCTTCTGGAGTGCAATACAGGGAGAGACGACCGCATTTTATACAGCAAGTTGGTCAAGATGTCCATTTGAACAGTTCAGAATTGGAACAAAAAACATGAAAATATTTCTCTATTTAGTTTTCTCAGATAGGGAACTCTTAGATGTTGCCGCTGGTTAGCATTTTAATTTTCTGAACCAAGTTGATTGAAAGCCTTCATGGCATGATATATTATCAAACCAATATTGACTCTTTTTCTTGCTAGCTACTAGCCTAGCATGGGTTTGTGTTTTATAAAATAATTTGGGCTAATTAGCACCCCATGTTGCCAATCCCCTCGGATGTAACCAAAAAACATAGATACTTGTTGTCTGATTCAAAAAAATGTGCACCACATATTGTGGACATATCTTTTGAATAAATCCAATGGCTTGAGGCATAGAATGTCCCCCCAAATGTAAACAACCCCAGATCAAATTGGGTATCTCCAAGTTGCCAAAAGATGTGAAAGGACATAAACGGTGCAGGAAAAATCTGGTTTCAAAGCTTTTTATCTTTATTAAGCAGTAGAGTCCACTACCCTTGGTTGTAGAGAAACCTTGGATGGTCCCAAATAAGGACATGAAGGGAAGGTTTCCGGCAATCACATCTACTGGCACAGTTTGCTACTGTGTAGAAACAGAATGAATTGTCTCAAAACATAAGGTGATTAAGAGATCTGGACCGATAAGAGGTGATAAAAATTCTGGGCACAGTGTACAGGTAAAGGAGTGAGAACTTGGGAACTGACATAAGCTAAAAAAAAAAAAATCTAATGTAGCCAAGTTGTCGTTCAAAAAAAGTCTAATGTATTATTAAAAAAAAAAAAAAAAACAAAACAAAAAAACAAAACAGAATGGAATTGTAGCCAGGTTGTCGTTCATCCTTCGTAAAGCATATATGGGATGACACAGCAGAATAAGATCAGTGGGTTTTATTAGTAAAATTCTTACAAGGTGGGGCTCTCATAACCAAGAAATGATGTTATATGTGGCCTTACCACAAAACCAAGAAACTGATCTTCAAATGCTAAAGGCTGCAAATGACAAGGACATAACAACCCTATGGACTGACTCCAGAGTTTTCATTAGTTATATAAAATTTACACACAAAAAGACTACAACTCATAATTTTTTTTTTTTAGCTAGCTTGCTTGCTTTCTAGAATGCAATCTGATTAGAGACTGGCTGACGTTTAACCGACAATGAGGCTGTTATTATCCAGTGCTTGGGCTCAGTATCTGGTACAGCAGATATTTCAGCTTCCGAAATAGGTTATCTAATGTATTCTTTATCCCTCGGGACCCAACTTGTGTTGTGTACAAAAGCCGGAAAGGCCTGCCAGCTTCTTATGCATTTACAGCAAAAAAATGGTCTACTTACACACGCCAGTAATTCAACTCAGCACTGAGAAATCTCTGTCAACATCCAGGTTCCTGTTTCAGCTGGATCCCGCTTGATGAGCCAAACATCATGGACTGGAGAAATCAAGAATTATCATTTATGTAAAAATGAAATATATATATGGATGGAATAAAGTCGTGTTTTAAGAAGCAAACTAATTTTGAGTAGCAACAAATACAGTAGCAACAATTTGTTCATACTGGGAAACTGTATATGTCATGATCAGGGGAAGACCACATATTGATTATGCAATTCAATTAGTTCAGAAGTATTATTTCACCCCAAAGTTTAGTGATGTTTGGGCAAAGTCTTGCATTAAGTGGCCAACATCGATTGCAATCCAGTATAACCTTTTTCATCACTATTAAAGCCTACAATTTCCCTCTGACCTATAATATTTTATGCAATTGTCCCACTATTAGTAATTCAAGATTTGCTTAAGCATTTTGCTAATTTCTTCTTTGATTCAATTTCATAGAATGTCAAAAATGTATTTAGAATGTTCTACTTTCAATAAGGTGTCAAGAAGGCAGAACTTAAGCCATTGCTTTGAGTTTTAAGATGTTTTAGAAATATTAGAGAAAGTAAATTCAGTGATAAATAAATAGAGTTGATCCCATAATATCTTATCAGATGGTGCAATTACCTGAGTTGAATTTGGCAAAATACTACTAGTAAGCTCTTCATCAAGAAACACAGGAAGCGGTGGCATTTGGCTCATGATCCCAGGCATATTGCTCATTCTACACACATAAAGTAGGTTCTGTAAAAAGATTCTGCTGAAGGTAGATTCATAGGAAGTAGCAATTAGAAAAGAAAAAACAGGCATACTCGTTGAGGATTGCAGTTATATTGTTCCTTGTACGAAAGAAGAGGTCAACGTTATCCTGCAACTGCTCATTTGCATGTGGGCATCAGATATCGGCTATAATAAATCCTAGCTATTCAGCAACATAAATGGTGGATAATTTCATTAAAAGGTTACAGATCAAGGTCCATGTCATGGTGCTTCTCTAAACTTTCTCAGAGCAAAATAATTTCAATGAAAAGAAGCAGAGAGCTACAACATTTTCATTCAATTCGAGGAAGAAATACTTAATAATTGAACTGGAATAATACTCAACTTAGAAGTTTTCCAGAAAGAAAGAGAGAAAAAAAAAAAAAAAAATACTTCACTTATGAGAGTATGCTTGTTTTAGTGTATATATATTAGAAGAAGAATTGTGAGGGTGAATTAAAGTGGAAAGGTGGAACAAATGAAGGAGAAGAAGAAATACCTGTGAGAGCAAATTGAAGTGGAAAGGTGGAACACAATGAAGGATGAGAAGTAATATTTGTGAGAGCAAATTAAAGTGGAAAGGTGGAACAAATGAAGGACATTACTAATGAAGAATGATGATAGAATGTGAAAGCAAAAAGCTTCAAATCTAGATTTGACTTGAAAAAGGCTCAATTGTAGGCTCCAATCATCTGTTCATGTTTTATCTAGTTTGAAAATATTTGTCAAATATACACATTGCATCCATGCTATTTTCCTGTGTAGAAATATTATTTGACCTGGGAAATTCTACAATGACGACCATAACAATGCTGGATAGTAAAAATAGTAAAAAATGGGGTACATTTGGTAATTTGAAAAAATTGAATTTATGTTCAATTTTGTTAAATTACAAAAATGTACACCATCTCTCACTATTTTTAGTATTCAGCAATCAGCATTGTTACGGTTTGGCATGGAAACGACTCCCTATAAACTTAATAAGAAACAGGATAAGCTATCACTCTGTTCGGAAAATGATTCATATTCTAACTATCATTTCATGATATTTAGCCCCTAAACAACGATAGGTTCAAAATATTACCTTATATGTTGAAAGGTTTGTTGAAATTTGATCAAGAGCTTGATTATTTTCTTCCAAAAGATTTCTCGTTCCAAGTAATGCTGCATAGTTACCATCAAAACCAAATAAATATAAATCAAGTCATAAGAGTAATTTAATTAAACTACAATGATAATTTAATTCCGTAAATGTTAAGGAAATGTTATAGAAGAAACAATGTAAGAGAGAAAGCAAACTGGAAAGAATAAAATATAATCCAGGCACAACTACATTAGAAATGCCAAGTTGTATTGGACAAAAAAGATGATATTTAAAATTATTTGAGCATCCCAATGAAGTGGCTTCATGAAGACTCAAATGGGATTTTTAGTAAACGAGGATAAGAGTAGGATCAACGAATAAAAGTGAAAATATGCATAACTTTTTTTTCTTTTCTCTTATACAAACAAGAGATGGTGGATTGTTGGGTGAGCAAAGCTGAATAGTATACATCCATTGAAGGCCACAGGTATTGTAAACAGATACAAAAATGGTTCTGGTAAGTAAAAATACATACATGGGCATAATTGAAAGCAGTTAACAAGGATAAAGGGGATCGGCAGTCTAATTGAATGGCAGATTGGTGACACTCAAAATCATGTTTTAACTAAGGGAGTTTAAGAAAGAGAAGGAATTTCCTTTCCAATTTTTCTCATTGTTGATTATTTATTGTTAGCAACTACACTGGCAAAGACATACAGAAAAAGTAATAATTTTTTTTTTTAATTCCCAATACCTCCAGAATTCATGCAGTTACTGCGGTCATGATGATTAACAGCTAGAGAATATGTAGCCAAGTTCAATGGAGAAGCTGAAGTTGTACTATTCTTCAAGGATGATTCAGCTGCTTTATCCTGGAGAAACATGAATTTTAAAAATGCCAGTTCATTAATCCACATCACCCCACTTGTAAAGCAGTAATTGTCAAAATGTAACAAGCAAACTTTATAAATCCCAATTAACAGCTCATGGCACAATAAAATCAAGAAAATAACAAGATTCCTTCATCACAGCACTCTTATCATAGATGGAGAAAAATATCAGGACCACTTTATGGAAAATAAATTTAGAACCATCCTATTTCCTCCACACTGATTGTGTCACAATGCCCATGTCAAAGAAGAAGAAAAGAAATGTCATGCAAAGAGGTCCTTGTGCGCATAGCACTAAGGTCAGAAACAAATGCAGAGCCCTAAGCAAGAATGGTAGTGCCTCATGCTGAAGGAATGTCTTGCAGTAATTAATTAAAACATCAAGGCTACAACACTAGAAACTGGAGAATTAAACAAGACATTCTAGCTTGACAACTGTTTAGCTTATGGAAAAAAGATACGCAACTTGCAATTATAAAGTTGAGCAGAATAGCATCAACTAAGATTTAAAAAAAAAAAAAATTGGAAGGATGGAAAAGAAGTTGGGGTCTAAAAATGACACTGTCATGCTGCACAGGAATCAGATCCTGGAAAACCCCTAGTCAGGAAGATGAAAGGTAATTATGCTATAACTAATACAAAACAAACACCAAACTTTAATACATACATGCAAGCTAAGCACACATGGTGAATGGTGTTATGATGGAAATCAGAGTAAGATTAATGGATCAATGATATGAAGGTATTTAAGGCAAGGATGTTGGAGGTGGGGTGGTAGAATTGGTTCTGTAAACTGGCGATCTTTATGCCAGCTTTGGCATTTCAAATATGTTGCAGTTAGAGTAATTTCCACCAATCATACAACCTGAGAACAAGTGCTTGTTTGGCACACCTTGAACTTCCGATCAAGGCAATTTCCACCTTTTTCCAATTTTAGTATTCCACCCAATTTATGCTTTTTTAGAGTAGACTAGTATGGTATAGGTGTATAGGTGTGTTGCATGTATTTGAAAGATGATCCAAGCCAAGAGTAAAAACTTAAATATGAGGAGAAGAACAATAATACTTTGTAACAACAATAAAAACAATGATAAAGTATGACAATTTTTCTTAGTGATACATTTTCATATCTTTTTGTTTTGCCTTTTGCAACAATGATAGAGCAGCTTCACACACCATGGCATACCTTGTTTTACCTTCTTATTAGAATACTATTTTTCGTAATTGGTTATCCTTTTAGAAATAGAAATCTTATTCATAAACTTAATTGAGGAGTTTTATTAGAACATTATTTATAAATATACTTAAATTTATTAATAAAATCAAAGTGTAAAATTTAATTAAAGGATATATTACTCTTTTTAAAAAAGGAACAAACTTAAAGAACTTTTATATATAGGTATAGATAAACTCCAAAACAAGTTGGGCCAAACAAGCACTAAGAAGTCACCCATGCAAGTAAGGTTACACCCTTGTTTAGATAACCAAGGTTAATTTCATGGCATTACATGAGCAAAAATGGGAGTAAATAAACAATCATCACATTGTAAGCACTAAGAACTTACCTTCCTGTCTTTCACTTTTTTCCCCATATTATTATAGTCCTCCTGTTTCCTTCGCTTTCTCTAATAAATAATCATCACATCGTAAGCAATAGAAATGCAACAAGCAAGAGCAACAATTTGAAAGTATTTTTTACCCCCAAAAAAAAAAAAAAGATTTCTTAAATTAGAATTAAATTCATACATAATCAATGTAGTGCTCAATGGTATTGAAAACATCAAATGACTCAACAACTCACCGTCATCCACCTACACCTCAGCGCAACATCACGAACAGTTTTTTCACGGAGTGTGGCTGCAATTTTAATGTATTTCATGATACTAGGTTCACTGGAAAATCTGTCATGGAAGAGGGTTGTGAGTAAATGCATAAAGAAAAATAATAATAAATAAATAAATAAATAAAGGAAAGAAGAAATGGAGTAAAGGTATCATCTATAGGAATGCGTGCATTGGGTGAAGGTAATGAAACTGGCTCAGTTATAAAGGAATGACCAGTGTCATTTAAGCATGAGCATTAAGTCAAAATCCTCTAAAGCCAGATAGGAAGTTAATCTATAACAATTGAATATGTTAGCTGTATAAGCCTTCTTGGCATACTTAAGCAAGGTTTTCAGGCTCCAAAAGAAAATTTTGCAGGCAAGCAAAAGGGTCACAGCAGATTCCTCATTTTACCACCTACTACATACTATATCTCTGCATCTATCTTATTTAGTCATTCACCTCTCCAACAATATTTCCAAACATCTCACTTAAATCTTTCTAAAATTAAAAAAAAAGAAAGCAGCAATGCACAGAAAATCTGCTGACCAATTAAAAGATCAAGACTTTGTGAATTTCTAGCAGATATCTATAACAAGTAGCAACTGTTCATGCATAACCAAACAAATAGATAAGTTCATACATACAAACATCCAGATATAGAAACTATGCACATCTAAACACCATGAACAGGAGACATACTTGATAAGTCCTTCCTCCAATTTGTACTGTTCTTCGACTGACCACTCCACCGCCAATCCGGTATCATGCTTAAGCCCCGGCACCGTATCAATAAGAAATGAAGGTGATGAGGTCCCGGCCTGACTAATCCCGGGATTATTGTTACTGTTGGTAATTATATTTGGATTCCCAGAAAACATCACCCCTCCTCCTCCTGATAAACCACTAGCACTGTTGCTATTATTTACATTTACATTTACCCCGAGATGACCATAAAAGTTACCAATCGGAATCATCTCCGACGACACCCCCGACTGAAAAGACCAGGCTTGCTGTTGATGAAACCCCATGTTCGATTCTGCCGCCATTTCTATATCCTCAACTACTCCTACTATCCCCAAATTACAACAGCAAACAACTAGAAGCTATAGCATAAGCTCCCAACTTGCAAAAACAAAAAATCAAAATCAAAAACAAAAACTCTAAATTCCTCAGCTCTCAGCTCCCTTAAACCCAAAAAAGGACTCCTATCCAACTCCTAATACCAACGCGTGAAATTAACGAACAAAAACAGAGCATTCTCCGAGTAAAATTTGAGCAAATATCAAGTTGAATCTCCAGGTTCAAATTACACTGAAGTGCAATTTTTCCCCGTCATTGAATCACAGAATAGATATGAAAAAAACCCTAACCTGCAAGAATCGAAAAATAGCAGCAGTAATTAGAAGAGTATTGGGATAGAAAGTGGAGTTACACGGAGCATCAGAGGAAAGAGACACAGAGAAATAACAAAAAATATATATATAAATATATAAATTAAAATAAATAACCAGATACCTTTTCAAGTGCAGAACCTTTTTCTTCTTTTTTTTTTTTTTCTTTTTTATTTGAATATTTTCTTTCTCCCTTGTTTTCACAGCTCAAGCTACCAGCTATAACTAATATGCAAGAACATTATCATGTTTTGACTTATTTTTAGTGACTCACTTTTTACTAAAATTATTATTTAATTTTTTTTAAAAAAATTATTCCATTCATTGATAGTATATCTCTTATTGTACAATAGTCAGTAATTTAGATGACAATTCATTAAATACACATTTTAAAAAAACTTAATAAGTAAGAAAGCTATAATTAGAAGTTCTTGGAGACAAATAAGTTGTTAGAAAGTAAGATACTTCTAGTAATGTAACGTAAGCTGACTCATTATTTGTTTCCTTAGTATATTTGAAGTTCGATGTGTTTAGAAAAGTCTTGATACTTTCTGTTTCTCAAACATGAAAAAGTCTTCAAATGGCTTAGCTTATTTGACGTGGTTTGATACATATGCGTTTTCTAAATATAGAAGTTTAGATAATGAAAGACATTTGAAGTAAAATATACGTGTGTTATTGACTTTACGGTAAATGTAGTTGACAGAGTAATGGGGCTAGCACGCGACCCGGGTTGTCAACATGCACCTGACCCAGCACCACGTGGAAATCCAACGGGTGGAAACATTACTACGAGTCATTTACTGCGCCCATTGAAGAAAGAGAAATAAAGGTTCAGCTCCTCATTATGTCTCGTTATGTTATTACCATTATGGACTTGATATAAGTAGAGCTCTCTTCAGCTAGAAGGGACACGCTAAATATTCTGTACTGAAACACTAAAGCATACAATTCGTTATTCTTATATTATATTTTCGGTAACATATTTACCGTCAGTAGTAAACAGGGCAAAAGTGATAAAATTTAAGGGTATTTTAATATGGGTTAAATTATATGCACAAGTACAAGAATGTCTCACCTAGCAAGTTGAGAAAATTACAACTTGAGTTGATAGGTTTTTATTTATTTTTTAATGAATATTATACATGTTTGTGTGTGTTTGTTGTTGTTGTTGTTGGGTGTGGGGGTGTGGGTGGGTGGGTGGGTGGGTGGGGTTTGGGGTGGGGGGGGTGTGTGTGTGTAAGTATATAATTAATGGAAAGAGTGGGTGGTGTTGTGTGGGGTGGGGATGCCTTTTGGTATTTGGTGTGTTGTGACAGATCTTGGAATTCAGCAGCTGAGTGCGAATCCCAATAAGCGTTTTGAATGCCAATTATTTTGTGCACTTTCTCTCCCTCATTTTATTTGCTTATTACTCCCTGCATTTTCTTCCTTTCTTACTTCTTTCCCCCTACTTTTCTCTCTCCATGTATTCGGTAATATAAGTTTAATTTGACATTCATAACTTACTTTTTCTTTTCTTTCAAGGAAAACCTTAAACTTTACAAACTTTTGACTAATGTACTTTTTTAAAAGGGAATAACTTATACCGTTGCGAGCATTTGACAGATGTAAAATGGACCCAATACATTTGAACTTTGAACAAATTGACTTGGCTTTATATTGCCATTGTTTGAATAATCCTTGTATTAAGGTATGTTAAATTTGGTTCATTTTATATAAATTTAACTTTGCCATTGAATAATCCTTGTATTAAGGTATGTTAAATTTGGTTCATTTTATATAAATTTATAGTAAAATTGATTAGTTTATAGAGAACAACCATGGTACAGAGCGATATCATATTTCAGAGTAGAATACAACGTATAAGTTATTATAATACTGATCAACATGGTAGAATTTTCAATAACAATAATACAAATCAAATCAAATACAAAGTAATATAAAATTGAGTGCAAATAATTTTTTTTTTTTAATATGATATGCAATTTTTTTAAAGTGTCACTTATACTTTTTTTTTTTTTTTTTTTTTGCATATATATATATATATATATATATATATATATATATATATAGGCGGGTTCAGGTGCGGCAGTGTCTTACGGTGCGGTTATTTCTTACGGTGCGGCAACACCAATAGTTTACCAAATATGCACCATCAACGTTAGGAAATACACCACACAAAACAGAGTAAACAGAGCCCTGCATCACCAAACACACACCATTAGGTGTGAGTAAAAACACCATACACTGTTCGGAAATACACCATTGGGGGTGGTGAGTTATATGGTGTGTTTTTTTGAGTCTGTGGTGTATTTTGTGATGTTTTATTACATTCCATTGGGGTGTGTTTTTATTACACTGTTGGTGCATATTGTTAACACTGTTAGTGTATTCTGAAATTTGACCGCACTGCCGCACCGTAAGACCCCGCCGCTTATGAGCGCTCTTCTATATATATATATATATATATATATATATATATATATATATATATATATATATATATATATATATATATATAATCAAATGAGACTATCTCTTCCCGTGAGACACTTCGTAAATGCACACAGACTAGATTGTGTGCAATTCGGTCAGCATGAATGCACACAATCTACTATATTTGCATTCGTGCAATAGCTTGTGTGCATTTTTAAAAAATCTAATGAAAGTTATAGGAACGGGTGGATGCACTTGAACAGTATAAAATAGAGTAAGATCTAAATCATCGATCTAATCTAAATTAAGTATCCAGAATGAATGATTTTTTTTTTTTTAAATGCACTTCCTAAGGAGTTTTCCCTTTTCAAAATTATGCATATTAAGTTCAATGTTATGCCTAAAGTTGAAAATTATACACTTTACAGTGCAAACTTATACACCTTAGTCCCAGGGTTATAAAAATCGGTCTAGGCGCCTCTAGACCGTGACGACTTCCCCCCTAGGCGCCCGCCTAGCGCCTAACTCGGCCGATTTGGCCGCTTAGCGTCTAAGTTAGTCGAGTTAACTCGCCCATTTCGGTTGAGTTAACCCGATCGGCTCGGCCTATTTTTTTATTATATATATATGTGTGTGTGCGCGCGCGCATACATATATATAATATGACATATATACACTCATAGACTAGTTTGATACTTTGAATCTTTGGATAATTGAAGTATTTGAGTATTTCATATAGGAAAGTGATGCACCCAACGAAGGAAATTGATGCACCTAACAAAAGAAAAAACTGAACTATTGTGCACCTTAAGATTTAAACTTATGCACCTAAAATCTAAAAAGTCATTATTCATAATGGGAAAAAAAAATTGTTTACCTTTTATTTATATATATAGAGTTGCCTCTCATGAGAACCATCCTTAAAGTGAAAATGTGAATACTAATCTAGACCATTAAATCAGAATGATGGACGGCTGAGATTAAAAGGAACAAAATCCACGGATAAGAAAACAAATCCCTTTAAAATATATATTCAATAACTACCACGAGTCAATAATTCATGAAACAATCAATAACACCACGAGTCAATCAAACAAAGCCATATCAAATCATAAAATTGTTGATAACATAATTTTTTTTATCGATGTTGTTTGTCATATGCTAATTGGAGGTAAACCATTTAACAAGTAGTTGTGTGATATGAGAGGATTGATGTATAGAATAGTAGGGGGTCTGAAACATTCAAACCTTCAGATGTTGGCATGTTGCTAATAGGTTGTCTGTCTGGGGAGAAGAAGATGAAATGTCATTCACTTGTATAAATACATAAAAAAAAACCTTAAAACCAACCACCTGGGAATTGGGAATTCACTATATAATCAATCATTAGGTGAAAGAAAATCAACAGAGACACCAAAGAATTGACATTTGACATTTAAACTACACTCAGCAAAGGACCAAAACTTTTTTCCTCCAACCCAACATTTCTCAATAACATTACCTTTTTTTTTCTTTTTTTTTTCCTTAATTTTTCTTCACGTCTTTGGAGGAGGATGCTGATATGTATAATATGTTTAAGAATATGTATTATTCTCTATTATATGCACCACGAGTTGCACAGCCTGCAAAACACATGAACCACTCGATTACCAATCAAGTCTAAAAGCACTCAAGAAAGGAGATCAATATAAAGCAAGATTGTTATACAAAATTTAGCACTTCAAGGTTCTTCAAGATAACAATTTAAGAAACTGATATTTGTGCTAAGGTTCATCAAATTTCTAATTCCGGAGCCATCATGGGGTCGGAGGACATGGCATCTAATTTGCATTTAGGATATGAAATTTGGCATTTTGATACGCAGCTTCAAATGAGTAAGCGACATACATTTTATGCCCGAAGAAACCGGTGTTAATGGATATTTGATTGTTATTAATCAAGTATCACATAGCACAACAACGCAACATTCATGTAGCTAACTACTTCATAGTTGCTCAAAACAGTTGAATTCTTTTTGGATAAAACATAGTTTTTTTTTTTTTTTGAATACTATTGACTCTATTACAAGGTAATATCTGTTCTATACTTTCTCTAATTACTGCAGCTCAAAGAGTCAATACCCCACCACCGGGTAAATGAACTAAATAAATATAATGCCCAAAAAAGTCATGCATCCAAGAAAAGTAAGCATAATTGCGTTTCTGGAAAAAGGTTTAGAGCACCAAACATATAAAGCAAAAGGAATTCAGCTTTTAGCGAGGAGAATTCTTACCTCAAATAGAAAAATATGAGAGGAGCAGCAACTTGATATGTATTCATAGTACATGCACCGGAAGGGCTTGTCGAAATTATACTGTGGTTGGTGTTACTTCCAGAGTTCCACAATTCATTCACTGGACTACTGGAGTAATATCGTCAATCATGGATTGAAAAAGCTCGAACCACCAATATTCAAAGAAATGAGGACTGAGATACTCGTAACTATAGCAAGCCAAACCAATGCTGAACCTACAAAAAGAGGTCTGTATTAATGAACAAATAACTTAATTTATACATAAAGATAATCCAAATTTGGACTGCCAAGTAAACCGGCACTCCGAAGCGTGATTACCTCTAAAACTTTCACTGCCACTTTCAGGGCTTTGCGGTGGAGGTCTGGCAGGAGGACTTCGTAACGTGGATGTTGGCACTGCACTTTTAACATCATCTACATATTTGCCATTCGCGGTTTCAGATGATACTATACCTAGAAACTCCTCGCTAACAATTAAAGCGGCAAGAACATCCATAAACGATTCTTTATCCAATTCACTATAAGACTTCACTCCGATCTGCTCAGAGACATTAGTGTCCAATTGCTCAGAGTCAGACAACTCATCATCTGATACATCTCCATCCAAGGATCTTACAACAGTCTTCTCATCATCTTCATCATCAACATATGCCTTATATGTCAATCGCAGTAAGATTTCTCCAGCTGGCCGCGGACTAAATAAGCCCCAACCTCCTAGGCCCACAACCACATCCATAGGTACTGTATCTTTGAATGACCCAAGATTAACCTAGAATAGAATTATCCATAATTATATTATTCATAAGACATTATCTTCCAGTCTAAAAGGTATCCAACATCAAATTCTTAAGGTTCTGTACAGCAAATGATGCATGGTTAAAGTTCTAACCACAGAACTAAGATTATTAGTGAGATCTAATTACATCTTACTCAAAATATCAACTCTCAACTACCCAAAAGGCAACAAGAACAAAATTAGCAAATCCATTGGCCAGTTCACAAGTGTATCGAAATAACCAGGGATGAAGATTCAAATTGGGTGTGGAGTCACATCTGAACTATAATCAGGGCTGAAGATTCAGGAAAAAAGTGGGATATACCAAAAATCTCCTAAAGAAGCTGGAAATCTTCAAAGTCAAGAGAAGAATGGAGATAATTAATCCATTCCTATTTCATATACAAAAATACAAATAATTATCAAATTTCTATTTCACATACATTGCACTTATCTTTTTCTGCCACATATGCAGAGAGTAACTGTTGGAAATCATAATAACAAGTTTAGAATTCATGTTCGTGGTGCTAACATTCAAGACAGACTAATATGTAGCCTAAGGCTTGAAAGTTATAAGACAAGGAAATTGAATTCGCAAAAAATATCGAAACTCGAAAGCATTTCACCTCAAAGTTAAATACCATAATTCCAAATGTATTTTATTTAGCCTCAATGTCTTTGTGACTGACATGAAGTAAATCCATAAAATTATACAGGTTACTAACAAATAGACAAAAAATAGTAAGTATAAGATCCATACCTCCCCTCTACCAACAGTCACATCTGCAAATCCAAGGGAATCCTTCACTTCAACATAAAGCTTTTGTCTACTAGGATCTGTCACTAACATGTGAAAATCCTATCGGGCAAAGATAAATAGAAACACGGAGCAAGATCAGCACTTATGAACATCAAAACACTTATCATGCTCATCAATTCTACAGTGTTCAATAGTATGTCATAAAACCTGACCTGATTCCAAATAGGTTCACCAGGAGGCCCAATAACAGTAGTTTGACTGTTTCTTTTACTGCGTATTACTTGATCTCCAAGTCTCAGAACAACATATGGGTCAGTTTTACCTGGATGACAAGGGAATTTAGTAAAACTAACACAGGCAAAGAAATAAGGAAAATGGAAAATAGAATCTGCTGGTGAGCCCATGCAACTAACAATTCACAATTTGTTTAGGGAAAAAACAAAGTGTAGTGCAATTTGCAGCTGCAACACCCATAAGCACAATGGAAGAAAAGTTACAACTCCAGAAAACTACTGCCTACTGGCACCATAAATGTGATCAGCTAGATTTCATATATTTTAGATACCCATACTAAATAATCACTTTCATATCAAACTACTGCCTACTGCCTACTGGCACCATAAATGTGATCAATATTTCCATTTTTTTATATACTACAATCATGTTTAAGTCAAGATTTCTGTACAATAATAAACATTACATATTCAGAACAATGCGAATCAATAAGTAAACCTTGATACTGAGCATGAAGAAAATAGAGAAAAATAAAAGAGAATAAAAAAGAGAGCAAAACTAATAAGCATGTGCTAGTTATAGTTTCATTTTCCTAGAATTTTGTTCATCCAAATAGAATACTATTTTCCCTTTACAATTTCAAAGTTACAAAACCCATGCCAAATGATTGTTTCAGACTTCCAGTGTTCCTTCATCACATTCAAATAAAATATTGTTTTGTCCTGTTATTTAGCACATTTAAATTTATAAGATTAAACAGTTAAACATGCTTTTTAATTACTTTAACCCAACAGATATTCCAGCAATTATACCACTTAACCTAAAAGAAATGAAACTTAAAATGATTTGATAGCTTAACATATTTTAGATGGAAAAAGGGCCAATACATTCATTTTCACCATTGCATGTATATGACTTAACCATTTCTCATACGCATAGTAGGAAAACCATGTTTCAGGTGAGAAACTTAAACTCCTTTCATCAAATTCTTACTTCTGTACAAAATAAATGTGGGAATGGCAACAGATACAAATATCTTCCCCAATGCATCCCACCCCTAAACCCAAAAGAAACATTGATATATATATATATATATATATATATATATATAGAGAGAGAGAGAGAGAGAGAGAGAGAGAGAGAGAGAGAGAAACCAGGATATAAAAGTACAAACTATCACAGTACAGAAATTCTGTAGCTGGTAGAACAAAAGTTACTTGGAAAAATTCATACCATAGATGATGTAAGATAGCTTCTGTGCATCTACAATAGTTAAAGATAGTTCTCCAACAAAGTCTCTATTCCCTTCTTGTACTTCAGCAGATTTAGATTCATTTGGCTCATTGGAATCATTTGTAACAGGACCAACTGCCTTTCCCTTTTGAAAATCCAAAACAATCTTCTTTGGGCGCACAAAGAGGCGAGGTAAATCCTCAGTTAGAAGTTTTGTCAAAAACCTGCAACCAAACATTCAAGTACCATAGCCTTAAAATAAGGAAGAAAACAAGTAAAGGCTAGAACTAAGCTGCTGAACTCTAAATCACTTCACTAACAAACCCATGAGTTATAAAGCAAAACTAGTTGATATAGTTGAAGTGTGAGTTAGAATAATGCATACGAGTAAACTATGCCTCCACTCTCTGGAGGTAATTCCCTTTTAATTCAAGAAAATGCATAAACGTTTGTGAAAGGCATTAGCTTTGAGTTCAATGATTTTAAACGTTAAACACTAGCATATGCTTAGAAATCAAAACATTAATCACAGTATTATAAATAAAACAAACAAAAAAAACTCTCAAAACTAAAAAATTTAAGAGTTGATAAAAGCTTAGTGAATAGTTGTGTGACCCGTTGTAATTCTACAATGTATCAAAAATAGCAAAAAGTTAAGAAGTTTAGGTCCACTCACATTGAGAGAACAGGAATTGCTGGTGTTGGTATTGATGCATGCATGAAAAGGGAAGCACAAAAACAAAAAGAACATTAGTAGATAACTAGATATATAACAGATTCCTTACAGTAATACAAATAGTAATAGTCAATGCCAAGAAAGCATGTACAACAGACATGCATCACCCTCAATATATATACACTTCCATGCCGATTCGTAACAATACCAGATACTAAAAATAGTAAAGAACGGGATGCATTATGCAATTTGACAAAAATTTTAAGTTTTCTCAAATAAAAAAAATATATACCACATACTAAAAAAACAAATTGTACCAACACTGTTACGATCGCCATGGAAATATATCAAGTTCGATTAGAAAGTCAAAAATTACTGGCAAACAGAAAACAGATACGGATCCAATTTGACTCCCAAATTTATAGACAAAATAAGAAATTTAACCCAAAAACTGTAGAGAATGTGTTGCATTAGTGTCGAGCATGGAGGAATCAGGAGGAAGAAATAAACCTCATGGGTCAGATTAATCTTTTTTATGATAAAGTATAAAATATCAGATTGGTACACAATCCAGGCAGGGTGTTAACAGTCAATACATCATACAAGGATGGATGACACTAAGCAAATGTTTAGGCTTCTTAAAAGAGAGACATCAACAATGAACTATAAAAAAAAAAATTTAACCAGCTCAGGTGGTCTTATTTCTAAGGTACTCCCTTATTTAAGTTTTTCAACCTAAATAGTAGAAGCCAAACTAAAAAGCTATAGAAGATTGAGATTCCATACCCATTAGATTAAACAAGCGAAAAGGAGATAAATCAAGCTTGATCTTTGGAAGAGAAACAAAAGCCCATGAAACAGCTCCTACCCAAGGTTCTGTGGGTATTAACCTCAATTTAACCCAAAGTTCACCATCAATATCAAAGTTCCGTACACCCACTGGCACAACAACAGGAATAATGCCAAACTTTAGAGACAGCATTAAAAGCATGCGTGCACCACCAGTATACCGGAGGCCAATTTGGTACCTAGATAGCATCAAAGAATATAAATAAGCTTTACATTTATTGCAAAACATTCTGAAATTACATTTTAAGATAACATCAAATATTTGTTCATGGGTAAAAAACAACATAATAAGCTCCTTATCAATGCAGAATTTAGCTTATTAATTATTGCAACTGTGTATGGTATGTGTTTGTGCATAAAATTCCACACCATCCTAAGGTGTTAATACTAACTTGGCCATCTACTATAGCAATAACATAAGATGCTCTTTATGAAGTATCAAATGTCTTAATGGGGGATGGGGCATATAATCATAATCATGATAATAATACAGAATCAGAATCATAAGACATGTTACTTACTGCAAGTCATTGGCACGACGAGATGTTCTTCGTTCAACACTCCTAACAGAAAGTGGCTCCTCCCCAAGAGAGAACTGTTTGATTTCAACCTTCTCCACATAATCAGGCTTCTTAAGATCATCTATAACAGGCTGGAGCAAACCAATGATCCAATTCTCAATCCCAGCCCTGTATACCTTCCAGAGCTTCCCTAACACCATGTTCACCCACTCCACTGATTCCTTCCTCTGCAAATCCTTCTCCAGAAAAGACGAGAGGTTTGTGGGTACCTGCGGCCAAGCTACCGTTTTATCCAGTTTGCCGTTGCTATTCTTCTTCCTGGAAGTCCATACCTTATCAAAAACCACTCCCACGAAGAAAAAGAACGCAAAAAGCCCCAAAATACTGCGATTAATAGGAGGAGAAGGCATTGGATGTATAACCCCCAATTGGGTCCTCAACTTATCTACAATTGGGTCCTCTTGAAAGCTAGCAAAATTAGTGCTTCCCCCACTAGCAGTAACACTAGAAGCATCGAATTCATCGGCAAACCTCTTAATCACAATGTTCCTGGCACCATCGCGAGCCGAACCCGAAAGCTCCAAGCTGAAACTGTGGTGGTCGCCGCCGCTATTAACGCAAGCCCGAAGAAACACCCATTTCTTCCCCCGATTCGGATTCCATCTCCGCCCCGGAACCAGCGCCACTTTCCCCCTACATGGGCAAAGAGGCGAAAAAACCAAGAAATTCCTCGAAAAATCGCAGCCGCCTTTCGACGAACACCCCGACTGCAAAATCATTTACCTATGCGCAACTCAACAAAACAACAAGGAAAAAGAGAAGCAACCCAGTAACCAGGTGACGAACAAGTTGCAGTAAACATGAATCCAGAGCTATAGTATAAAGACAACACCATTAATACAGAGTCCAGAAACCTCGGGACACATTAAAACGCAAAAAAATCTAGTACCCACTACACTAGTATATGAATGCAGCCAGCACCAATCACCAATCACCAATCACCAAACTACTTATAGAGAGAGAAGTTAGGCGAGCAGATAGAGATATATAGAGAGAGAAAAGGCGGTGGACGGAGAAGAGAAAATGATGAAGAGGTCAGAATTGGAATCCAAAGAATGAGGAAATTGGATTGTGGTTTTGTGGGAATAGAAAGAGAAAGGATCCAATTGGCTTCCGAGGATATGCAGCAAAGCCCGCATATGAAATGCGTGGATACGAATTTTACAAAAGCAAAGTGCGCAGATAACAAGTACACGAAAAAAAAAAAGCACAAATTTTCACAATTTCACGTGCAGCCTACAGGGACGACTTTTCCCAATAAAATGTGGGTCGTTACTCGTTAGTTTTGACAGTGCACTTCAATAACTACTCTATTTAAAAGCTGATGTCTTTTCATGTATTGATGATATCAATGAAACGTGATTTTTTTTGGTATGATTTGTGAATTATTATTATATAGGAGCAAAATTTATTTAATGCATATCCTCATTTAATGACAATAAGTATTATATTTATATTGAAAAGTATTAGTGTAAATGTAATATTTTTCTGTAAAATGTTTTTTTTTTTTGAGAAAGGGATATTAATTCATTAAATCACGAGAAAGACAGCTTATAAGAAAAGATGACTGAGTGTCAAACCACTCCCCGCAATCTAACTCATAAAAGGCCGCCCTGTCAACAGTGTAGGCGACACAATTCGTAGATCGCTTTACAAAATAAAATTCAACACCACCAAATGTGGATGCTAATTCTTTAATGTCACCGATAATCAGTCCAAACGACGAACTAAAAGAAGAATAAGAACGTAAAGCATTAAAATCAATTTGGGAATCCATTTCTACCTCTATATTTCTCATTCTAGTGTCCTTAAGCCAACTGAGAGCTTCTCGGGTACATAGAGCCTCAGCCTCCTTCATAATATAACACCCCGGCACACACATGTTCCTCGCTGCTAGGAATCTACCATCTTCATCTCTTAAAACCCATCTCATTGGTTTCATGGTGCAAAGCTGCATCAGTATTCAATTTTAGAATTCCACTTCTCGGCTTTGTCCAACTCGACAACTCATACCAGTATTGGGTTCATTTGCAGTACTCGTATTAGCAGTTGATTCATTTGCTAGCTTCCAATTTTCCAGAAACAAAAGTGATCTGCGTAGCATCTCGTTCAAATCAAATGTTATTTACTTGTTAAATCATAAGAAATATTATATTTTGACTAAAAAGTCTTATCTATTTAATGTAAGACACTAACACAAATTTGAAATTTCATTTCTCCTGTTTTCTTCAGCTGCCTCGATCGAGCATGCACCAACTATAAAATGTGATATAATCTACAACTCAAATTTGCCAAGAAACTTTGATCTGGACAGCCAATGAGCACAATTATTCTGTTCATTTTGGATGTGCAGAGTGTCAACAGTGTTATCACTTACCAACCTTTAACAAGCACATAAGGGAAAGCCTAAATGGTAGTGCAAAACCAATAAAAGCTGTTGATTTTGTTTTTAAATCGGTAGCCGCAATTATGGTGGTGAAGATGATGAGGGAGAGAGTAGTGGTTTTCTCTGGGTGTGAATGACTTAACAATGAAACAAGTCATCAAATTATTTTTATTTAAGGGTGCGTTTGAAAACCCGGAAAATAACTTCCGAAAAATGTTTTCCGAGTTTTCAGTGTTTGGCAAGAAGGAAAAAAATGAGGTCAATGAAAAATGATGCATTAATCAAAGGAAAATATGTATGTTTTGGGGGAAAATGACTTTTTTTTTTTTTTTGAGAAGTCATTTTTCAAAGAATGCACATGCAAAATTTTTCGCGCATAATTTTTTGCGAGTTGGCCCACCAAAGGCAAATTATTCTATGGACCATGGTCCACACAATGTTATGTGGACCATAATAAAATGTACATTTTTAATATATTAAATGTACATTATTTTTGTACTGAATGTACATTATATAATATAATGTACACTCAGAACAAAAATAATGTACATCCCCTGAATATAATGTACATTATTTTTATACTGAATGCACATTATTTTTGTACTAAATGTACATTATTTTACAATAGACAAAATATGGTCCACACAACTTGTGTGGACCATGGTCCATACAATAATGATTGCCCACCAAACCCGCAGGCTAGGGTTCATGCAACCAAAGCCCGCCTCATGTGGGTTGGTGGGCCCGTGGACCGGTCCACGTTTTTTTTTTATTATTATTCAAAGGTCAAAAAAAAATCTACAAATCAAATTAATTTTTTGTATTTAAAAGCTAAAAAAAATTACATTTTTTAAAATGTTTATATATATATATATATATATATATATATATATATATATATGTGTGTGTGTGTGCGCGCGCGTGTGTGTTTAAATTGTAATTTTCTTAATAAAATTATTAGTTTGAGCACATTTTTGGTTTCACTCTTTCGAGTCACTATCTATAACAAACATTTTTCTTTGACTTTTCTTCCTTCAACCGACCCATGCTTTAACTTTATCCAATATTGGTCGCAATTCAATTCGTGGTTTACTTTGGGCACCATTCATGGCTAAATATTATTATATTATTATATAATATCCGTATAATATGACACAATGTCTAAATTATGTAAAGCGGATCAAATAACATAATTTTTGTACTAAAGATCACAACTTTAATTATTGTCCTACATAATAATCAAATAAAGACAAGATCAAATAAGAAAATAGTCAAATAAAGATACACTTATCAACACCATATTATTATTTATCATATATAGGGACAAGATCAAATAAGAAAATAGACATCAATAGGTTCGAGTTTTAGTAAAAAAAATACATGGTTAACTAATATCGTACTTTTTCTCCTTATTTTCCTTGCAACCCTTACTGTTAATCTTCTCAAATAACATCACTTTTTACCTGGAGTCTCCTCACTTGAAAATTATATATAAAAAAAAAAGTTTAGAAATTATTATTTTTCTTTTTACGAAAGAGAAAAATGGTCAAATAGGTCACTAAACTTTACTTAAAAGTCAATTAGACTCTTAAACTTTCAAAGGTTGCGATTAAACCCTTAAACATGTTAATTTAGAGTATTGAGGCCTAGAACCGATTGGATGACCTATAATTACAAGTCACTAGGGTTCCGGTGAACCTCCAACCATATTCCGCCTAAAAACATCAATAAAAATAATCGTCGGTGTGGTTTGATCGCCTGATTCAGCGAAGGAGAAGGCATGCCAACTGGTTTGTTCTGCCTTCTCCTTCGCCAAAGAAGACAACTTGTTTAGTTGCCTTTACCTCTGCGGAAGAAGGCGACAGTTTCACTGAAATATGATCGAAAACCCACCAAAGATTTGTCAGAACCCTAGTGACATGTAATAACAAGTCACTAATTGGTTTCTAGGCTTCAATATTGCTCTAAATTAAACATGTTTAAGGACTTAATTTCAACTTTTGAAAGTTTAAGGATTTAATTGACTTCTTGAGTAAAAATTTAAGAACCTATTTGACCATTTTCCAAAAAAAAAAAAAAAAATTGAGAAGAAAATTAATTTTAAAAAAAATTAATTTAACCAATGATCAATAAATAAACTCGATACATAAACATGTTGCTCATCGATGGAGCTGAAGGGGGAAAAAACTGTCATAACGACTAATGATCACTCAATACGTTATGGAATAAAGAGTAAAATAGATAGAAACGGTTTGTATGAAACAAAAAACGATCATTGGTAGATTACATTGTGAAGCTAATAGTTTCATGTATTTTATGTTAGTGACAAAAACAAAGAATATAATTCCACTAAATGAGTTGGCTTCATCCTACCAAATATTCTCCCTCATTCTAACCTCGTCAAGATTAAGCTGGCTACTTCTCAACCACTTAGTTTACAGACTCCAGTTAATTTTCCAGTGCAAAAGAGCTATCTTCTCTCAGCTCTCTTTGATCCAGCTAAAAATTTCGAGGAATCACCGGAGCTTCTATTCCTTGACTTATCGGCTTCTTGTTCGTTTGCCAACTTTTGCCGCCTCTGAATATCCTCGACATGTCGGCGCCAAAGGGATTCCCGGTCTTTTCTTGGCATCTTAGTGTACCTGGGATCAGCTTTGAGAAGCTGTTTTGCGGTTGACCAGGAAGTAAAAACTGTTTTTCCGTCTTCTGTTTCTTGAGCAGCTGCGTCTGCAGTTATAGCAGCAATCAAAAGAGCTCGGAATTCTTGGGCACACCGCTACAAAATAACAAATAGCAATGTGTTTCTAACGTGTCGTACAGCAAAATTGGCAAACATAATGATCTGATTTACCATCCCCTCGTATCAGATAAAATGCTGGTAAAAAATTAAAAAGCAAACAGTACAATATCATATCTAGCTATGGCGCCATTAATGTTTGTATACCAAATTGGCATCGGAGCCTATGAATGTTCAGATTCTGACCTAACTAAATCAGTTGAAAGTCATGCCCGGGATAATTTGTAATTCCAGAACGCATCATAATGCCACATGGATAGGTAAATGAACAAATGCAAACTGAGTATGTAGACATGCTCCATGAAAGCAACTCATTTAAATTCTAAAATTCACTTGTTGAAGAGCAAAAATGAAACAATTGTTATAAATACAACAGAAATTGGTCATATTTGTAACTGATTTTCAACTTACCTCATACAATGTCTTAACGTGTTCTCGAAAGAGTTTTTCTAAGTCAGATTGATCCAAATGAGGATTGGCCACACGTCCTTGGGGATCCTTCTCTAGTTTTGGTTTTGACTCGGTCCAAGATGCCTAGGTTGCAAAGGTGGAACCACAATGTGAGAATATTCCTCAAAGATGCAAATACACATGGAAATTCGGGACATTTATATATGGTATTATATCAAACAGATAAAACCATATCATTTTATAATTCAGTTGAAAATTTATTTCTCCAGATGCAGTAAACAAGTCTACAAGTTTGTGTACACATTTGGACAGAGAGACAGCAAGATGTATAAAGGCAAGGAAAAAGAGAATATCCAATACAACATGCAGTTCAATATCCTTCCAACTATCATCAAGGAAAGATAGAAAATGTTATCGAAAACTGAAATCCATATTATCCTTGTCATTGTGTTTAAATTCTTCAGTGACAATCTTTCTACCCTCAATCTCATAGTGGATTTCCATTCAGAAGTTGAGCATTTAGATATTAATTCAACCCTGTTTTTCGTAAGTACCTGAGGATCTTTGATTGTTTCAACAAGCAAAGCTTGATAAGACTCAACTGCTTCCTTTCTACAAGTTTTCAACCGTACCCTCTCCAGTTCTTGTTCTTCTCTTTCTTTTCGTTTCCGCAATGCTCGCTCTCTTTCCTTCAACTTTTCCTAGAGGAACAACCCAAGAAGCTCACAAGTCACAATAAGTTAAGCAGATTATATACGCATTTAAAAAGTCAATTTGGATATATTTGTATGTACAAGAGAAGCAATGATTAAAGGACCATATGCACAATAAGTTTTGTATGACATTGCCAATTTAAAATTACATTATATACAAGACATGCCATGCTGAAACAAGTATAGTCATGAGATCTTGTAAGTAATATCATCATGACCACATTCACAAGCCAAAGAAGACAAAAAATCTGGAACGTAAAGATGAAAAGGATTCACATCTCTCAAGTTTCACCTCCTCATCATATTTGGCTTTTGCCACTCTTGCAGTCTCTTCTTCAGCAGTCTTTAGTTCAGACAGATACTCATTAAATAGAACTTCCCTGTCCTCATGCTTGACAGCTTTGTACCGGGGGTCATTTCTTAAATTGTCCTTCACCTAATATCAAAAATTTAAAATCCCATGAGAGGATGAAAGTTATGGGTAGATGTAATAATTGCCTATATGGAAGACAAGCCTAAACTAAATTCACTGATACAAAGGAAGTCCCATGAAGAGTTCATCTGAATGTAATGAAACAATACGGAGAGATGTCCTAAGTCCTAACTGTGCATGATTTTTAACATGAATCAAACTCAATTACAGCCAACCAGAAAACAGAAATAGAGTTTTACTCAAATATATACTTGAACGAGTATCTATAGCTATATATTCTGTGTTTTTTTAGAAAAAATGTTTTTAAGTAGTTACAGTTTGTATAGTTAGAAAATATGAAGCAAGTCTTATGTCAGACATGGACACATAAAAAAGTAGGACATGACACATGTTGGGGCACAATTTCATAATCATAACATATCAAGAGCAAATGATACAGAAAAGACAATAATCCACAGATCGACAGAAACAAAGATAATTATGAAATGGGGCACCAAACCTTACATTAAACATATTATTCTGTATCCTGAATATCTTAAGGACCTATGAGTCCAGATTCCAGAAACAAGAGAAAACATCAATTCTGAGTAAATTTTAGGTTTGTTCCTAGAAGTTTTAGCTTAGTTTCATTTTGGTCCTAAAAGTTTCAATAGTTTCCACTTGGTCATTAATGATCAGTTTTTTTTTTTATTCAATTTGGCCCTCATCAAACATCCCAGTCCAAATTGGATAAGATTCCAACCACATGCGACTCACATAAGCACAAGGGCATGTTCTAAGGATAATCTTTTGATGGGGAAAACAGTGCCAAAAATCAATTACAAGAAAATGAGTAAAGAATACTCACCTTTCTAGCCAAAACATGTCCGCCTATACCCGAGTTGTCCCAGAAATGCAGAATCAAAACAACGAAGTATATTACGTTACATTGTTACTAGCACAGAATAAATAGCCAAAGCATACCCAAAAACAATAATTTAAAAATTAAAATTAAATTAAAAAAACCCATAACATATCCTAGGCATGCCCGTGGTTTGGTTCTGGTTCCGAACCGCAGGTTCGCGGTTACAAAATTACCGGAACCAGAACCTTCGTTGGACCGCCGGTTAAAACCAGACGCTTTTTCTTTTCTTTTTAGCGCATCAGCACATGCATGCAGGCATGCAGCAGCGCAAAGCCCGTTGCGCTATGCGCAACTGAAAAAGTGAAAAGGCCACATGTGACCTTTAATATATATATATATATATATATATATATATAATATTTATATTTATACGGTTCTGGTTTGTTAAAATAACCAACCAGAATCGGAACCTTAGAGTTCCGGTTCGGGTTCGGTTGAAACATTATACGTTTCGGTTCAAACCGAACCGCGGTTATGCCTAGTCGCATGTGGTTGGAATCTTATCCAATTGCAATTCTCTTTGGGAAGCAAATCCTTTAATCACAAACGTCTAGTATATTCTTATTAATAAACTTTTTGTCACATGTATCAAAATAGTCTTCATATCCCCAACATAAGCATTACAACTACAGTTCAAAAAGTTGCCACTGTGGTAGACTTTCATCCTTATATGTATATTCTTCTTCCATAAATAATTTAAATGAAAAAAACAATGACAGATCTTCACAATCATGGGACTGCTAATATGATCGATGCACATAAAAGAATTGAAAACACCAATAAAAAGAAATTTGTTAAGAATGATTCGCAAAAACTGAAATGCCAAAAAATAATTAAAACACACCAATAAAAATTGAAATTACAATTTAAAAAAGAAAATAATAAACCATCCACCCAAGGACAACTCTTTGTTATCACTTTTCATTATTTTTTATTTTACTCCTAAAGTTTCCTTTTAAAGTATTATGCCCATAATATCCTTAACTCTGTGCACATGAGTTGAGTCACATGTAACTACAAAAGCAAACTCTGTGCACATGAGTCACACACAACTGACTGCAAAAACTTCATTTTGGAATTTGGATGGAGAAGTTGCTAAATTGAAACCAAACCTAATTGTTAAGTATTAAATTGGAAGCAACTTTCAGGACCAAAATGGAGTTTAACTAAAACTTTTAGGCCAAAAATGAATTTTACTATATCAGATCCCTAAAGTGAGAAAAATTGGTTGAGAGATGGCATGCACAAGAAAAAAATGACATGCAAAGGAATGAAATCATTCTGGCCCAGTTTATTTGTCTTAAATTGTATTGGGTCAAAATATAGGTATTGGTGCCCTCGTTGCTACAGTATACAAGTTATAGTAACAAGTTTCACACCAAAACCAACCTTTGACCAACGAGTATTTGAAGTAATGTCTCCCTTCTCCCGAAGCATGGACTTAAAGTCAGATATAACGGTGGCGCGAGCTGCTTGAGCTTTTTCTTGAGCAACCCTCTTCAAAAAAAGCACCCTGCAGAATATGTGAATACTTGCCTGATCAGTAAAACAAAACTTAGAAAAACAAATACTCCCTCCATCCCAAAATACAATGGGGTAGTTGTATTTGGCAAGGTTTTAAGAAACAAATAGTGTAATTTACTTCCCAAGTTTGCTGCTCTATTTTTGTGTTTGCAAGTCTAAATGGACCCACCTTGTCTAATCATTCTAAAAATTAAATGGCATAAAGGGAAAATTGGGAAAAGTAAAAAGGTAGTGGTGTTACATTAGGTAAGTGGGCATCATTAACTGGTGTTTTGATTTTAAAAATGATAAAAGAGTAATACATGTCTGCCTCTCCACTGTATAAGTTAGATTCATATGATTGTCATTGGAAACAATTGCTATTGTAATCTAAACCTAAGTATATTCTAGGGGAAGCACTAAAAGGTTTGAGTGGGAATTGAGAATTTAAAGAAAATTCAGTAGTAGATGCAATATTTATCTCTAGAAATTTGGTGAAAGAATGAAGCAAAAGCTAAGCTAACTTAGTAACAAATGAAAGGATAAAGCCATTGCAGGAGGATCCACTGATACAGGGTCTAGGGAAGGTTAGATGTGACAAACCTTCAGATGGAAGTTTGCTAACAAACAGAAATAGGTTTACTTTTTGAGCATTTCCGAACATAAGGCTAGAAAGGGGAAAACTGGAAGATGTTACAAATTAGTGCTTACTTTATACCCCAAATGATGTAAAAGTCGATCCTTAAGGTTCAATAGTTTTCCATAACATGCATGCAGTTTGAACAAATAAGAAGCTTAACCAAGGCAGCGATTCTTCTGCAGGTGTCAAAATGAATAATTTATACCTCTCATTGAAGAGAGCATCTCTTTCTTTTCGGTCCAGTGCCTCAAACCGTGGATCATTACCCCATTTCTTTTTGAATGTTTGATAATCAGTGTTATGATTTATATCCTGAATACAGAGGAAATCATCAGAAGGCAATTTACAATGACTACAATTCAGAAACAGCATTAGCTGATAACAAAGTTTCAGCAGCACAGAAGAAAACATTGTTAGGTACTGTATGAAGATACTTCCTAATTATTTGAAGAAAAATAAGAGAGCATTAGCAAGTAGTTGCAAAAACCTCCTTTGCTTCTTCCAGTAATTGCTTGAAGCCCTCTACAGCAGCCTTCTGAGCAGCTCTTTTCTCTTTTCGTTCTTCATCAGCACGTGTCTTGACATAATGCTCAAAAAGAGCTTTTCTTTCACTGTAACTTGGTATAGCCTAGAAAGAAAATCCCACCCAAATTAGAAAACCAAAGCAACAGCATGTTCCCAGCACACCAAATGGAAATAAAGAAATATTAGCAAACATGATGTGCATAGACAATTTCATAAGCATTGGTAACTCAAATCCAGTAAGTGGATTCCAGCAGTAATGCTGACTACTGAGACATTGAAGAAACATGTCAGCCAAACATGATAAATCCCATTACATGTAGATATCCATGTAATTGTACATTACAAATAATGTGTATTCTAACAGATAAGAAAATCATCAGAGACTTAGTACTATAGGTTTAACATTCTAGTCTTACAGTTATAGCCGTATAGCTACTACTACAGTAGAACAACTCACATGTACACCTAAATGTCCATGCACATTGAAGGATATATATGAGGAAGAGTTAGGCGAAGAAAAGGTGTAATCCCTTTTTGTCTCTCCAACAAACCTTAAACCGTGGATCAAAAACTATCTTTGGAAGTTCCTTTTCCCACTTTGAAAAAGGTGCTATTCCACGTTCCTTGAGCATTTCCTGAGAATTCCATGACAACAGAAAATTAGACACCAATATAAACAAATATCTTCACATTTATACAGAGGAATAAATTATAACCACAAACTATAGTCCTAGCATCACCGGCAGATTATTATGTAAGAAGCATACAGAGAAAGCTAAGTATTCAAAAACTGAAGTGCTATACCGTAATGATATCTACTTAGCTTAAGACAGAAAGACAAAAGAATGACAATTACATTACCATGCCCCACATGCAACGCCTTCAAATAACAAGTTTTAGGATTTTCCTAGCAGATGTTAAATAGAAGCATGTATGGTAGATAATATGTTAGATTGTTAGAACTAAGAAGTTATGTATAATTTAGAAAATTGCATCATCTCAATCATTAAACTCCTCTCCAAAAGATATGCAGACAAGAGATTAAAAGTGGATAGATGGAAATAGAAATTAAGAAGAAAACCACCCTAAGATAAAATCAAAACAGAATCTAGCTTGATGCTTCAAGAAAAGAAATACAAACAAGTGGTTTCATGTTCCTCACAACACCAGTTACTATTAAAAAGAGTTGTTTATGAAACATGATAAGGAATCATCCTCAATGAATAAAATATTTTTTTAAAAATAGAATACTGTTTTTCATCCCCTATTTTTCCTTGCAACCTCAAAAATATAAATTTCTTCTATCTGATACTAAGAGAGGGAGGAGAAAGGAATTGCTCAAAGAATTTCAAAAATACCAGAGCTCTTAGATCTAAATTTCAAATCATGGTACAGAAAAGAGAAGAACCTATACTCTTTAGAATGTCAACAAGAAAACCAAAGAACTTAGGAAGATCAAAAAGAACTACCCTGGTAAGAAAACCAAAGCAAAGCATGCATCCAAATGATGGAAAGTGCATGTATTATACACAAAGGCAACCGTACCAAAGGGCAGTCATAGAGTTCGTTCATAAAAATGGGGTACAAAATGCAACCCATGAAAATCGTTTTTAGAGACTAGTATACGGTATACCTTGAATTGAATGACGAGCTCCTCCTTGGTGGGCCCACTGTCTTCAGTTTCAGAATCGGAAGTTGATTCTGACAAATTACCATCATCATTAGCATCTTTTGACTTATCTTTGCTATTTTCTTTTTGTGGACCTCTAACAGTAGAATCCCCTGCTTTAATTCCATCTAGATCTGATGCTCCTGACAAAGCAGGAGTTGTTGGAATAGTAGCAGGTGATCCAGAATCCTGCAACTTCTTCTTTATGAGATCCAGTGCTGAAGATGTTCCCTGCATGCCTGATGGCCTCAAAGTTGTGGCATCACGACCACCAGTGTTAACTGCTGGGGTAAGCAATGGAGCAGATTCTTTTTCAGGTTGCACATTGGTGTTTGCCATGGCCATTGCTTGGGCTTTCAATGCATCAGAATCTAACCTCTGTTTTAGCTCTGCCACCTCAACAGGAATTTGCCAGCTGCTCAACTGATTACGAAACAAGAGGGAGTTAATTAGAAGTCACTGCTAAAATAAGATATTAGGACCATAAGCAAATAAATTTACAACCACTTAAAGAGATTCAATTTCATAGAGTAACCAATGTTATGGAAATCACTTTTCTCCATTTTATAGGAGCATCCAAAATTTTCCAGTTCATATGTAGCTAATGCATGGCAAAATATCAGAAAAGCTTTCAGCATCAATCATTGTTTTTAGCTTCATCACTTTTCTCACTTAGCCTTGATTGCTAATGAAGTTTATATTAGACAGGAAAGTAGAAGTGCCAACATGAAGGTGATTTGGACTTTCTTAAATGTCAATATCACCCCTAAAGGTTCTGGATGCAGATGCAGGAAATGGATTCAGAGTGTGACAAAAGGTGAAGCCAATAATGTGTGCTAATGACTTTCACATGAAAATACAATAAACATGATGTTGCTATGTAGCACACCTCATATATGAAAAACAAACAAGAACAATCACCAAATTGATTAACCATACCTTAGTTTTAGTATTGTAGTAATATCTTTTGCCATCATTAGTAATGACCAATGCCCAATCTGTACCATACAACCTTTCCCTGATTGTAATTATGCAAGAAAAATAATTAGAAGAATGGAATCTAGGGACTTTCAACACAAAAGGAGAAAAACTTATTATTTAGTTCAGAAAAAGAAAAGGAAAAAATGAAAATAATTTTTTTAAAAATAAATCACAATGAGTAGAAGGCTAGAAGCACGTAAACTACTAAAAGAGCAGAAGCATGCCTTGGAACCTCCTACAAAGCAAAGCCACTTGTCTAAAAGCCAACCTCATCCAGTAAGCATTTTTCTAAAAAAATTTACTCTCTTTAAGGTGACTGTGAATTGTAAGTGTCTCTTTCTGGGTACTGTCAGTTAAGATATAATAATTTGACACAGCAGGTGGTGAAGGGCGACCACATACTTAGTAAGGTGGAAGCTTAAGTCCATGACCTTTGAATTTCTAGCATGTGATAAATTACAAAATCTGCAAATCCTCTTAATTTTCTAGCACTTTACTTAGGAAATGGGTGACACATGAACCTTTTGCAAGTCGCTTACGCTGTAAGTACACCCTCTGTACATGGTTGCTTCTCGTTTGGAGAATTTCAATAGTAATTTTAAAATATTATTCAAATTAAAAAAATAAATATATTTGCGGGGACATGAGAATTAAACATCTGGCCTTGAGCCTCCACCTTTTCAATAATGGCATTGCAATGGGATGCCTCGCCTTCATGCAACACATATGGCATTGCAATACTCAAAATGCCAATGACTTGCATTTTGTAACAAATAATATGAAATAGATATAGTTTAATAAAAATAAATAATTTTATAACTATCAATGTAAGATGAACAGAAGGAGATAAAGAAAAATTCAGACTAGATCATTGAACATTCATTAGGAGAGAATGCCAGATGTATGGTATACAATTAATGATAATTCATCATATGATATAAATATCATAGTTGTCAGTGTACCTGTACTGAATGGTTATCATTATCTATCTTATATGCTCAGATGCAATAGTTGAGATATAGAAAACCCCTAGTTGTACAGGCCAATTGTATTACCCATATCACCTTAACTGCTTTCTACATACTCCTATATAATGAAGTACATAGAGTCTAGATTCTCACAACCTTTTCTTCTCAGTATTAGTGTTTTTTCCTATCTATATTATCACTGGCATAAATAATCTTTGTGTGTGCGTGTATATATTTATATTCCCTGAAATAGATATAAAACACAACTCAACATCAGATATACTCCGTAATATTTTTCAAAGGACAAAGTATTTACCATGAAACTGGAGTTGGTTGTGCAATAACTTTCTCAGGCTGCATATAGGAAAGAATACAATTATCAAGAGATGAAGTATGGCAGCAATAAGATCAATGACATGCATGCATTGTCATATTCATGAACTTAAATTCATGGGCAAACTTAGTCAAAAGCATTTGGGTTCATGCTCCAGAAATCAAGCAATTAACAAAGTAACAAAACTTAGAAACTTAACACTCCTTGTATTGCAAAATAAATGGTATCAAACTAACTAGTGTAGATGCACTTTTATTCACAACATCAAAATTCAAATGTTTGTGATTAACAGTAGTTCCAATATACTTTATTACTCCATAATATACATTCAACTTATTTGCATAAGTTCAATTAATTAGTGCCAGAATATAAGGCAGAAATTGGTCAAGTTGATCTTCAAAGACTGGACTAGGTCATTAGTTTTAGAGTAGTTTCTGAGCTTATTTCACTTTTGAATTTCCCTGTCCAAGCCTTCTTGTTGGCAACTGACTTAGAATCATACTAAGATTTATTTTATAACCTGAGGAAATTTCAGTGCTTTATTTCATAAGAATAAAGGATCAGAAGAAAAGGAAGGAAGAAAAAAAAAAAAAAAAAAAAAAAAAAAAAAAAAAAAAAAAACTAAAAAACTAAAAAACTAAACTAAACTTCACACTACATTTTTGGGCAATTTCAATCAGACCAAACATCCAGTGTAAGACATGAGACCAAGATAGTACAACCTAAGGTCTATCCTAGAACCCCACACTCATAGTTCCACAGATAACAAATTATAATGTATATACTCACAAGATAAATTAATCAATAGACCTCCTAAGCAAGCAATACAGCTTTTGAAGCAAAGGGCAAGTATAGAAGAAGTGAGCAACATAATATTATCCTGGTGGAGACAAAATCAAAATAAATCATTAAACAGATTTACCAGGTTCAGGAGATATTACTAGATATACGTTAAGCACCAGAGAAGATTTGACTAAATGCATAATGCTAAGGGCCAACAACTTAGTGATTAATACCTCTCCTTTAAACCCGGCAGGTTTCTCATAAGTAGATACTCCAGTTAAAGCATTGTAATAGTATACAGTTCCTGTTTCTGTCCGATGGGCTGTCCAAGCATCAAGATTCTTACTGTTTACAGCTACATCTCTTGTCACAACATCATTTTCATGTCTACTATCATCTGGCATAAAGAACAATTATTAAAAACAAAAAACAAAAAGTTATCTACTCTGAAATGAAGAAAAAAAATACATGACATAATGAATTGAAAGCAAATTATCAACATGAATTTTGTGCAGACCAACTCCAGGAGGAAACTCTGCCTGCATCCCTGAACCAGGTACTGATTGGGGAGCTGAAGTTGTAGAAGTTGTAGATGCAGACGCTCCAGGTGGTGCTGCCACGGTTGAAACCCCAGGAGGTTGAGTGTCAGGGAATGTAGCAGAAGAGTGCAGCATACTACCAGCCAGCATAGGAAAGGGACCAGTTAGGGAAGCAGGGTACACTGGCAATGGTGATCTTACCAAGCCACTAGCAGGTGCATGCAACCATGGTCCCTGAGGAGGGGTTTGCAAAGCAGAAACAGAGTTATATGGAGTATATGCCTGCTGCTGAATGGGTGGATTAGACAGAAAAGGAGCTTGTGGTATAATGGGCCTCAGAGATGGAGAAGAATCTCCAGAAGAAAATGGAGCATTTGTACTAGAAGACAATTGTATAGTTGAACCTATTCCAGGAGGACCAGGTGTTGCAGGAGCTTTAGGAACTCCAGGAGGCATCTGAAAAGATGGGGCAGGAATCATACTTAAAGTTGGTGTGGTAGCATTAGATGTTGGAAAACTTGGACTAGCTTGCTGGGGAACAGTCTGAGTAGCAAAAGATAGTCCTGTTACTCCTGTTTCTGGTGTAATCCCAGTCCTCATATCCTGCAACCAGAAAAACAAACCCAAATTAGTTGGATTCATGGATAGTTCTGTTTATTCACTGCTTATCCTTAAGCACATAATGTATGGAGTCATTTATTCAAAACAATTCTTTAGATGTATTCAAACTAACCAGGCTTGTTTGCATTTACTTAAAACAGAATGGTCAAATATATTTGGTCATTGCTTTAAGCAATCAAATTATTTACCAACAATATCAATATTTCCCAACTTCAGAGAAATTTGAAGCATTTACCAGTCAATTTATCACATAGATTGTTTAGTACAACATGCATGCAATTTACTTATCTTACCAGAGAATTTCTGTAGTAGCAGAATCTCATGCAGTTGCACATATGGCACAAAGTTGAACGGCACTTTATGCCAGACAGTCTATAATTGATCCACCCAGATAAAGTTGATGCTTCAAAAGGATTAGTGATACTGCATGTAGTCACAGTTGCACTACAAGTCCCAATCTAAGGATCATATGATTCAGCCCATGATAGTACAAAACCCCTATGCTCAGAATGTTTGCCAAAAGAGCAAGTTTGATGACTTCAACAAACAGATATTGGACACAGGGACTACATACCAGAACAGGTGGGTCAAAGCCTGGAAGAATTTCTAGTTAAAAAGTGCCCATACTCTGTTGAACTACTTCCAATTGGGTTATTCTTATTCAAAACCACTAATCTCGTAAAAATAGTGCAAACAGTGGATCTGTTGCAGGCCAAGCCAGGTCAGGTTAGAAAGGTTGGTATTTTCTTGGATAGCCATAAAATTGTACAAAAGATTATGTGTAAGATACTGTCCTGTTATATATGTGTGAGTGCACGTGCGCGCGCCTTCTGTAATGGATATTGCAATATACAAGAACAAATCATTGGGCATACCAACATCACTGGCACAACTAACTCTGATCAAAAGGCATACTACATTTGAATAATATATATTCACACATTTATATGTATGTCATGTGCCATCAAAGTATGTGAGGAAGAAGGACAACCCCTTATCAAAACAACATAATCTAGTTCATGCAGTTTTTAGATGGGAAGAGTTGGCTCATAAGCAATAGAGGTTATCTACTAAAACCTACAGTGCACCAAGACATTGCCATTTTATAGTATCGACAGCTTAAAGAAGACAAATATGCATATGAAGTTACCAAAATCTAGTATTCTAGTTGCAGAATGCAGTTTTAAACAAATTGAAACATTCTTCTCAGATAGAAGCTTCAATTATTGAAAATTTTACTATCAGTAACAAAAGATCCTCACCATGCTAGTTGGAAATTGTGGAGCACCAGTCATGCCAGTAGTTGGATGAGAAATGTTATATGAAAACAAAGAATTTCCAGGGACTGGTGGTTGGAGAGGTCCTGCAGGAATTTGTGAATTTGACTTCATGGCCTACACACACAGAGTAATAGTTTTAAAATCTTCCCCATTTAGCACCTCCTGAATTAAGGATAAACACTGAAAGTTTCCAGAAAGGGCAACAACATTTACATATGAGATAGGAAGTCGAGTGACACCATATCCAGGGGGGCCAGTAGCTTTTTGTTGGGCAATGTCTCTAGATGAATCTATTGATGGACTCATTCCATTATTTGAAGGAGTGCTTGCAATGGAAGGAGGGATGGCAGTCATAGGCAAAGGGTCTGAAGATAGTCCTGCAGTTGATGAACTTGTAACAGAGGTCTGCGGAGTTGAAGATTGCATTTCCTGAGGGAACCAAGCTGGTGATCCCATTAATTCACTGCAAAGTATTGGATTGTAAAGAGAGATTATATTACAATTTTAAAAAGATCTTGTATAATGTATGCATCATTTAATTTCCCTTTAACAATGTTATTAGTACCAACTGAACTAAAAATTGAGCTTAAAACTGGGGGAAAACAAAAAATCCTCTTTTCCTTTTCCCTGTCCTTTTATGGTCAATTAAAGCAACAGACAGACCAGAGAGATAAAATTACATAACAAAAAGTCCCTTGGGGCACTAAAAAAAACCCAATTGGAGAAAAAGAATACTTTTCTTTACTACAAATGTCCCTTCACATAGAGCCCGCGATTCAGTATCACTAAAAACAAAAACCCACGGCAATAAATTCACACGAGTAGTTGAACTAATCAAGTCTCTTCTTGCATCATGATTTAATTACAATGGTGTAAAGCATAAGCCAATAACAGACCAGTAAACACAAAAATCTTGAAAATTCCCCGTGTGCAATCGAAACCAATGGTTCTCTTACAGTAGCTCTATCAACGCAAGGCGCACATTCGTATATACACAAGTGTATGAACGATGCAAGAATTTGGCGCATCAATAATCAACATATAGTGGCGGCGGAAAGTGAAGATACGCAAGCAGCTATTTGCGGGGAGAGAGAGAGAGAGAGAGAGAGAGAGAGAGTAGAGGAGAGAGAATAGACCTGCGCAGTGAAGCTATTCGACGAAATGTTGAGGAAGAAGAAGCAAACAAGCCGGAGCTGCTCTCATCGACAGTGAGGGAAAGATTCTGGAGGAAGTTCCGTTGAGTTCATACTTCATACCCTGCCTGCTATTTACCATCAATTACACTAAAATGCGACCAAAAGACCCATACGATATACTTTCAATACTTCATATCCTTTCCGTGTATAAGTTCATCGCTTAACTATTTAATACTCCCTAATTTTTTTTGTAGTACTACTAAATCTGTTACAAATTTATTGACTTATTATTATTAATGAATGGCCATTTTTGTATTGATTTATTGAAAAATAATCACTTTATCCATCACATTTCGTCCATTAATTATCTACGAAAATAAACTTTTCGTTCCCCTATAATTATGAATTGTTTTTGTTCATTTGAAAATGCTTTTAATCGCCTCCATACTTATAAAAGATACTATCATGTCCATCAAAAATATAAATAAATTGAGTGAATATAACTTTAAAACTCAACATCAAATTATACACTTATGCGCACAATCCAAACCCACCCTCACCCTATCGCAATAAGGCAAGATATGTGCACAAATAGCACAATCCAAACCCACCCTCGCCCTATCGCAATAAGCAAGTCTTAATTGATCTGTGATGCTACTTTTTTTTTTTTTTTTTGTGACTACAATCTAACCTTATCTATAATATCTACCCATCATAATTATGCCAATATCCTTGATTGAGATAGAACTCGAACTTGTGACCTTTCATTTGGAATGATAACAATGATGTCATCCGGTCACAATATACTTGGCAAGTGATGCTACTTGTATGCACAAATAGCACAATCCAAACACACTCTTGGCCTGCTATTGGGAGCAAGTATTAAGGGAGAAGTTTCATTCATTAGACCAATATCATGGAGGTGAAAACACTTTTATAGATGCGCGCACACACATAAGTGCACTACTATCAGTTTATTGACTTTATTCTATTAAGTATTTTCAAAAATACCATCATAATCATAATTATAAAAATAATACTGTATTTCCCATTAACTTTCAACAAAGTAAAGAAAGTTTCATTCTACGCTATTATTCGCACATCACAAGATAAAACTAATAATCTAAATAAATATCAAATATAAAGTAGGTTGAGCAAATTATGTATTGAAGTAAAAGATCCATTGACACTAGTGACAAGTGGTAACTATCATTTCGGTTAAAAAAATGAGTCATCATAACTCTTACAAATAGTAGTAGCAAATAATTTTACATTGTCCAATATTGTTGCCTCTACAGTTTACACAACAGTCATACTGTGAAGTATGAGAAGTACTTGATTAGTTGATGGAAAAAGAAAGATGTCAAGTGTCCATTGCCACAACAACAATGAAGAAAAGAATAAACCCGAGGGTAGAAAGATATGCTATAGACAAAATAAAGCTTCCAAATAGTCATCAATGTAAGCCAAGCATGGCCAGTGATCAGTTCTAATCCGGACAAGAGAAGAGGTATCACAAACTTCCATTTGGAAGAGGAGATGGAATCTTGGTGGCAGGAATATCAGAATCTGAAAGCATCCCATGTTCTTCTTAGTAAATTGAGCATTACCTCCTCTATCGTCTTCATCGTCCAGGTATTTGAGATAAAGAGGCCCTCCAACGACACTTGTTTCTTGTGTCGAGACATCATCAATGGAGGAGTCTGGAGAGGTATCCCCCCAGACAATGTCCCTGATAACTCCCCCGCCTTTCACGATGTTAATAAGAAGCTCACCGGTTACACAGACAACAAAGGGTGCTAAACATCGTTCAACAGATTGGATCAGAGATGCTGCTGGAATTTCCAGAAGTTTCACTGACCGGGTTCCGCTTATTGCAGCAACACCTTTGCCTCCTTTCAACACGAAGGTCTCTCGCCCAGTACTGGTGGATGTCCCACATGCTTCCCACAAAGCATTGAATAATTGAACGTAATAATCAGGTACTGCTTCTCCACTGATGTCATCTGGAGGAATGGCTTTGAGAAACATGTCCTCTATTCCTACACTGATACTACGAAGCTGCCCTTGTATGATTTGACCACTGACTGTATTTGCTTCGATGAAAATGTCAACAAGACTAGGCACCGGTTCCCGTGGTTCCAATTCAATCATAACATGAGTGTTGAAGCCTTCCACTTCTCCTGGAGAATAAGAACTGTTATCCACTGGAACTATCTCTAATGAATTATGTTCGTTGAAAGAATTGAAACTTCTGGGGGGCTGACCAAGAAGGAAGGGTATATGATATGATGGGATTGACCCATACGGGGCAGAAGAAGAAAATCTTAAAACTGCTGCATATATGGCAGGAAGTGCATCAACTCCATCAAATTCATTGGCTGCCATATCGGAACCCCATATGCGATTGAATGGTTCTGATTCAAACCATAAGGAACAGGGTATTTTAATCCTGAGCCCTGGCATGTGTCTAAAGTCAGGAATGGATGAAAAATGCCTCCTCAACATTTCAACGATCTGACAAATCTTGGAATCCATCACAAGTAAGGGCTCTGGCACTCCTGGCAGCAGATCAGTTCTATAGGTTTCAGAGACTGATTGATCATTATTTCTATCTATCTCCCTGTGTTCACTCATTGGTTCAGTGTCCCTGATGGCTTCTAAATAACCAGGTTTCTTGTTGTGAATCCCCAGGGTTGCAAGTGACAAGGACCAAGATTGTTTAACCAACAATGGAATCACACGCTCAATGTGAATATACGATGATATATTCCTTGATTTCTTGAGGTCGTGGGAAAATCTAGGAGACTGAACAGTAAAAAATGGACTAGAGTGGGTAGATGGGGACACTCCAGGCAACTGGTCCCCACTGTTCAGTATGTCTCTAAGTTTCTTCCCTGGAATACAAATGAGCATCCGCAAGTAGATTCTGTGAAAATATCAACAATGAATCAGTAATGAATCAACAATAATAACCTCCTGTCTCAAACTGGTATATGTGTCATCAACTCATCATTTAGTCACCTTTTATCAACTATCTACTATATAACTCTTATAAATAGGTGTCAATGTTGAAAATAAAAAATAAAAAAAAAACAAAAAAAAAAAAACAACAACAACAACAATAAGAAAATGCAGGAGGAAAAGAGGGACCAAAAGAATTTTCTTACAGAAGTACCTTGCATTGTCACGAACTTCCAAATCTGGAAAATAAAGGCAAGTGAATGCTAGAAGACGAGATAGCCCAAGGAATAACTTAGAGCTATGGTGATGCATAAGCATTGTTCGACAAATGCCAAGAACTTTACTCCCATGACACCAAGATCTCAACCCTGTATCTGGACCATGTTTCTCGATAAGAAACAACATGAACTTCACAAGGAGCTCTAACAATCCACTTGGTGAAACTTTACTACTCATAGCCATTTTTTCCAATATTGGGAAGTAAGATCCCAACCTATAGTCTAGCTTTAGTTTAGGAAGTAAATGCTCATCAAAGGTCTTAAGGAGGTGTTCACCCAACAAATGGTGTTTATGGCATGCCAGCAACCGGTCAATGAAGGTGACAGTAACAGGGACCATTCCTTTATATTCAGACATAGAGGCTACAAGTGTCTTCTGCAAAATCAAGTAGCAATGTTACAGCCTAGTACCCAGATACTGAGATATATACCAACAACAAAGGAAAAAGCATAGATAGTATAATGACATTATATTTATTTAAAAAGAAAACAATAATTGCTTTAAGTTAGCAGGATGAAACTGGGATTCCAAAGGTAAATTCCAAGATTCTTTTTTTTCACTTATCAAAAGACTAGAGATTTTGCCACTAGAATTAGTTGAATTTGAATATTCCACACTCAAACAGTATGCTAATGAATGTAAGTTTGTTTGACATCAAAATAATTTCTTAAATAGACCCACTTTCTAAATTTTCTTCCTTTAAAGGGAATTCAATTTTAATTGCTAGGAGAAACTTCTAAAGGTCAACAGAAGGTGAAAGGCAAATTCTATCTAGCTGATTCTAACTGCCACTAAGTAAAATAATTTGCTAGGGTGGACTAAAGCCTTCAATGAGTTAAGGCGCCATGTTCTGTTACTATTTATATGGGTGCATCACATGTATGTTAAGAGAAAAGAGAACTTCACTAGCTTAATGTAAAAGGCACTACCTTGGAGCAAAATAACTGAAGGGAATGCTACAGAGTGGCTCAAATAGTTTAGATAACCGGTCCTATTGAACAAATAAGTGTTTCTGAGCAATTTGAAAAAATTAACTTCATCTGATAAAAGCTTGGCAAAATTATATATGGAGTTCGCCTTATACTTACAAAATACTCTTTTTGTGCATAACATTTTGCTTAAATCCAAAAAAAAAAAAAAAAAACAATACAAAAAAAAACTCCATAATTATAATTGAAAAAACTATATCCACAACCTCTGTAACACCATTACAAAGAAATAATTGTATTGCCCAACTTCCTCTATATGAAGTAATGTCACCTGATGGGATAACAAGGAAATAAAAACAAAACCAATTACTCTCAGCATCAAAGAAGGTTTCTACCTGTACAGTGTGGAAGATGGTGGATTCAGTGAGAATTCTGTTGGAAACAGAATCAGCTTCTGAGTGAGACGATGCACCAATCAGGAATTTGTGGAAGGCACGAAATGCCACTGCCGTTTCTGTGCTCCAAGGAGGCAACCATTTGAAAGCAGATACAGAAACAAGGGCATCTTCAAATAGCTTCTCCACTGACACTTTTGGGCTAGTCTCAGTGCTCACTACTCCATTTCCTTTAATAACCAAAATAGAGCAGTATGCAAGCAAGTCAATTTTTAAGGACTTCAAAGCAAGTGGATCAAAAACAGCTGGATAAAAGCTCAAACTCATTTCAAGAACATTTCCCCTTTTCCCCTCATCTCTATTCAGCACTAGTCCAACGAACCCCAACAACCAGTGGAGTGCCAGCAATCTGAAAACCAAATGATGTTGTGATTCTTTCGACAACAACAACAGTCTACGGGCAATTTCCAACTCCTGCCCTTCAAATGAGTCCAGAAACCTCAAACACATCGCTAAATAAGCATGCCAAAGCAAAGGATCATATGTAGAAAGTAGTCCCGAGAACTGCACCTTCAACAATGAAGCCTGCAAATCCAAGGCTGCAGCAACAGGCAATATCTTATCCATGAACTCCAATAACCCCCATGGAGTCAAGTTATGTGGCCACTCAAGCAAAAATGCAACCACTCTCTTTAGGTCCTTGTTACTCAAATCGGATATCTGCTTCTCAGTAGAATGCTTATCCTCCCCGGTAGCATTATTATCAGCATCATCAATCACACAAGACGGAACATTGAAAGGAACCAAAGGCATAGAAGCATTAGTAAATGAAGCATTGGGTTTTAACTTAACAATGTTCGCAACTACGGTGGCTAGTAACAGCGCATAGCTCTGACCGGCATGAGTTCTCTCGCTTTGTGATAAAGCCCATAGTTGCGATGCAACGTCCGAGAGTAAGCAAGGGAAAGCGATTTCGAGCTCGCGTAAGCAATCGCAGGTCACGGACCGGGTTTGCCGGTCCACGCTGTGATTCGGTCGGTTGATTATCGTCAACAGAAGCTCGATTAGGCCTTCGAAATGCGGCACGAGACCCGAACTGATAGTATTTGATCCGCTATCACCATTGGCGTTCGTCGTAACGAAGATGGAGGTGGTGGAGATGAGGAACTGTTCCTTGAGAGGGAAAGTGATCGAAACGCCGTCATTTGGGGATTGAACAACGGAGCGGAGGGTGTCGATGAGTCGACTGAAGGAGGCGGAGGCGGAGGCTGCGGCGGATGGAATAACAGTGGAGGAGTGCTCCTCGAGGAAGATGAGGAGCTGGAGCTTGAGGTTGAGAGGGAGGTCTTTGCGGACGACGGAGGAGAGAGCGAGCTCAAAGAGGAGCGTGCCGGAGTAATGGGCGGCGGTCCAGCGAAACAGACGCGCGCCGCCGTGGTTATAGTCGTCGATTAGAGATTCCCATTCTTGAGGGCTTAACGGTTTCAGCTGACTGTGAGATGACATCGCCGAGTTGATTCAGTTCCTATACGCAATTCGCCGATCAAGGCCCGGTCACAAGGTGCCTGTCTCTGCTCATTTTCAGCCCCGCCGGAAAACCAAAAAGGGGGAAATTCAACCCTGTTTTCTAACGAAATCATGTTCTTCGTTTTTTGCTTTTAATAAATTCATTATTTCTTTTTAAAATTACAGCTTAAGTATTTTCCATTTTAATTATATTTTAAAATTTGTTTTAAAAAAAATGTTTTAAATTTTAAATTTAGAATATCCATTTCTTTTGAAATGATATCTTAAAATCTTAAAATAAATAAATAAATAATAAGTAATAAATAGTAATGGTATTGTCAAGTATTATGTAGTGCGATGACATCATATGTAATGTGATGCATCTCTATTATCATTTTAAATGGGTGATCACAGTATAAGAATTATGAGTCTTTAAAAAAATGATATTGGAAAGTGATGACTATTGATTTAGATTTATTACACTTTGACTATAATTATTTTGAGGGTAAATTTTGTAGAGTAATATATATTACATGTGTTTTTTTTTTTTAACTTTATAATTTTTGCTTGTATCTATGTGAGATTCTTTAGTATTTGATTACAAGTAAGTGAGTCCTTTAATTTTTTCCTTTAATTTTTTTTTTTTTTTGAATGTTACTAGCTCTATTACATTGTAGTATCTGTTCATATACTTTCTCAACCTACTGAAACACAAAGAGCCAATAACGCCTCCACTGAGGCTTGAACTCACAACCTTCCAAACGGAAGTCCAACCCGGGTACCATTAGACCACATAGTCCTGGTAGTGAGTCCTTTAATTAACACTTAATAAATATAAAATTGTATCATGAGGGGAATAATATGTGAAATTTTATGAGAAGTACATGTTTCAATTTATTTATTTTTAAAAAAAAATTAAATATAAATAAATCATAATAATATAATTGGGTATCTCAATTTAAATTTTTACAATAAACACGGTGACCATAGGGGCTCATGTTTTATAATGGACAATGGTTAACATTTACAGGGAATAACGGTCTCCTAATAACTACGACGACTCTTCTCAATAATAGTGATGCTCTCATCCATAAATGTCCTAGCCCTCCATAATTACTTATTCTTTATTGATGGGTGTTCCAATAAGTGTGTTAGGTTCTACCTTAAGTGTATTGTTCCACTTGCTTTCTGCTTAATCGTTACTGTTTGATTGTCTTCACTACTTTGATGAGTTAGACTAATAGTACTCCGGGTAAGGTTCAATACCTTGTCCAATTATCATGTCACGAGTCTCCTACTCCCAAGATGCGAGTGTAGTAGAGTCAGCTAAGGAGTAATAGAAGTGCTGGACTTAAATCCCTGTCACCAGTCCCCTACTCGCGAGTGTAGAGAAATGACTAGGAATTAATATATTTTTTTATTTTAAAAAATTAAAATAACGAGCCCTTAGCCAACACTGTACTTCCAGTGTTCTTGCGGCTAAGGGACCACTCGTCGGGTGGGTGAGGTATGATCTCACACCTTTAGGGCATGATTTTTTTTTTTTAATGGTCAAGGGGCATCACCCATTTTAACTTGTTAAGACTTGAAACCTGATTGAGGTGTGCCCCACCATGAATTAATAAATTAGCGTAGTTTATTTATAGACAACATGCAAGATTGATCATGGCGGACTATGATCAATAGTTACACTAATCCTATTGCGTATCTTCAATTTCTTAGCGGATGACTTGCTTTTTATGTGGTGCGGGTTCCTCATCTAGATCTTTGTCTCTCTCTGCAATATGGTCATACTCTCTCTTTTTTTCGTGCTAGAAGCATATAGCTCGGGTTTTCGCCCTTTCGCCAAACATTTTTGAGTTGGCCTTGTTGTTGATGTTGTCCTAGGTGTTTCACAAATTGACTAAAGTATCCCCGCTAAATTAGAGCATCTATATGTATCTTCATAACGTGACACTCGTCAGTGTCGTAGCCAACATGTCCGTGGAACACTAGAACCGACAGTATTCGACATGGTCTACCTTCAGAGAGATTTTCATTAATTCCTTTAGAAATTGCCTAGATGTTTTCGCTCCCCGTGAAGACAATAACCTTCCAAGCTGGCTTACGCATTTGAATTTTATGGACATATTTTTCGAACGTGGATGTAGGCACGGACTTTGTCAAGAAATATGCCAAATTGTCATTTGAGCGAATCTTCCCAACAAGGATTTTATCACTCTTTTGGAGTTTATGCAAGTATATAAAGAACTTAGGCGCAATGTGCTTCGTAAGGTTGTCCTCAACATACCCACTACCCATTTGTGCAACACATGCAACATTGTCCTCGTACAGGAGAGTGTGGGGCTCAACTTCGCTCGTTATTGTGAGCATATAGCCATTAATGTGCAATCCAACTACCAGCTTAAGCTTTTAGTTGAGATGGAACACATGCTTCAATTTTGTATCAGAGTCAGACCAAAGGTCATGGGTTTGCTACTGTTTAATGACATAAAGCTGTATCAATTATGGTCTGGCTAGCATTTGAGTAACTGATGAATGAGGTGTCCCAGTCACTTTTAAAATAAAGGTCAAGGTCTTTTGTACACCGAAGATATTAGTCAACAAACTTACTGTAAAAACAATATATGGTATAGTGCAATTAGCTTGAAATTCCTATATGCAAAAAGTTTTTATAAAAGTGCCAAAATGTTTTGAATTAATTATTTTGAAATAATTTTGTATGTCATTGTTTCAAAATTACGTTTGAATCATGTCTCCCCTCTTGAACAATTTCAAATAGTTTTCATGCATAAACCTTTGGCAAGACTTCAAATCAAGGTTTGTGGTCAACAGGTTAATATAAAATTATCAAACTTATTTTAAAAAGTTAATTAGTTTTAATTACGGTCCGAAATTGAATTTAAATTTTATGAAAAAAGAAAGTACTTAAATATTAATTTCATTATTATTATTATTTTTTTAAAACTTAGGTAATCATAATTTTGTTGAACTAATCCTAAACTCACTATATCATGCCCTTAAAGGCTAGAGTCACTACGGAGGTAAATCGTGAATCGTGCAATCAGCCTACCGAGATCCTAGTCTTAATGTACCGACAAGGGATCCACCATCTTTGGACAATGAACCAATTATGCTAAGTCCCATGGAGACTAATTTCATTAGTTTGTTAGTGTTAAATAAGTTGTTGGGGACAATTAATATAAAGATCCAAATGTACATAATAAAGATATATAAGGATAATATATGAATTAATATTGTAAATTTACTAAATCCAACAGTCCTCGAAGCAGTTGCCGTTAAAAAGTGCCTAGTGAGCTACGAATGTATGTCTGGCCAGACCATAAACTTTGCTAAATCGTGCATGGTCATCAGCTGAAACACTAGTGAAGCAGCAAGGAACGCGCGGTTGCAGCGATTTTTAACGTCCAACAGGCTGTAGGTCTATTATAACTGGGCAAAATGTGTTAGGCGGATTGGAAATGGTGATTATTCAACCTTCATCTGGAAATAGCCTTGGCTCCTGGATGAGGTGGATCCTTACGTCCAAACACCCATGAGTGCTAATGATGGAAATTTGAAGCTAAGGTTAGTACGCTGCTTAACTCTAATTCTAATGGGTGGGGTATTAATAGGTTGAATGAGTTATTTATTCCACGAGACGTGGCCCTCATTATGAAAATCCCGGTTGCTAGCCAGTTTAATGACAAATGGTGTTGGAGGGATGATGTTAGAGGTTGTTATTCTGTTATGCACGGGTATTAACTGTAGAATATATACTTCGCATGTTCAGAGCCTGCCGAATTCTAATATCTGGAGGGCTATTTGGAAACTTAAAATACTGTTAACTTCCAAAACTTCTGATGGCGCTGCTTTCATGGTGTGCTGCCTACCATGGTTTCCATCTCAAATAAAATGGTAGAGGTAGATGTCTCTTGACCCTTGTGTAGACAAAGCCCGGAAACCCTGATGCATTTGATGTGTATGATCCCATCCCAGCTGTTGGTAATGTGTTTTCGGATTGGTTATCGAGCAAGCTATGCTGAGGCAGTATGATTGATACAGTGAGATATATTGCTGTCTGCTGGTGCATTTGGCATGGGCGAAATGATGTCGTCTGAAATCATAAACCTTGGCTTGTTCAACAGATTCAAGTGGAAGTGGCACATTTGGTTAATGAATTGAATGGCTAGACAGTATGAATATGGTGATTCAAGGTGGTGGAAACCCTCCCTCTATAGGTACTATTCCTGAAGCTCCTGAAGGTGTGTACGTACCGATTGTACGTTGATGCGACTGTATTTACTGACGTTGAACATGCTTTCTTTGGTGTTGTTGTAGCAGATAATAATGGTACCTTTGTTGCAGCCAAGAATGGCTCTATCAATTGCTTGAATAATGATCATTTGGGAAAGAAGCTTTATCATGGGCAAAGAATATGAATTTTGCGAGAATAATGGTCATTTATGTTTGTTAGTTAGTTTGCAACCTTATTAATGGTTCCTCAACAAATTTATCCGATACATGCTGTGTGATTAGTGAGTCTAAGGATTATCTAAGACACTTTGAAGCAGTGTCTTTCAAGTTCATTTTTAGATCAGTGAACAAGTCAACTCATGTGTTAGCTAGGCTCTAGGTCGTTGTTGTTGTTGTTGTTTTTTTTTTTTTTTTGTTTTTTTTTTTTGTTTTTTGTTTTTTTTTTTGTTTTTTGTTTTTTTTTTTGTTTTGTTTTTTGTTTTTTGTTTTTTTGTTTTGTTTTTTTGTTTTGTTTTGTTTTTTTGTTTTTTTTTTGTTTTTTTTTTTGTTTTGTTTTTTTTTTTGTTTTTTTTTTTTTTTTTTTTTTGTATTGAGAATTTGATTTAATGAAAGTATTGCTTTTGTTTTGTTTTTTTTAAAATAATAATAAAATTATCATCCAAATTAGGTAAAATATAAATTTCATAAGATTATTTGGGCTCAAAATATATGAGAAAGTATAAAACATAATCATATGAGTATCTAAAACAAAATGAATAAGGGTCAAATATGTCACTCAACTGCACACAAAATTGCAATGAGCCATCAACTTTTAAAAAAGTGTAATTGGATCCATGAACTACACAAACTTATGCAATTCAGCCCAAGATAACCTGTTT